TATATCTCTCTACAGAGTAATACAACGGAGAGTCGCACCTGTAATATGTCCTGGTATATCTCTCTACAGAGTAATACAACGGAGAGTCGCACCTGTAATATGTCCTGGTATATCTCTCTACAGAGTAATACAACGGAGAGTCGTAATATGTCCTGGTATACAGAGTAATACCTGTAATATGTCCTGGTATAGCTCTCACAGAGTAATACAACGGAGAGTCGCACCTGTAATATGTCCTGGTATATCTCTCTACAGAGTAATACAACGGAGAGTCGCACCTGTAATATGTCCTGGTATATCTCTCTACAGAGTAATACAACGGAGAGTCGCACCTGTAATATGTCCTGTAATATGTACCTGGTAATACAACGGAGAGTCGCACCTGTAATATCCTCTCTCTACAGAGTAATACAACGGAGAGTCGCACCTGTAATATGTCCTGGTATATACAGAGTAATACAACGGAGAGTCGCACCTGTACCTGGTAGAGTAATACAACGGAGAGTCGCACCTGTAATATGTCCTGGTATATCTCTCTACAGAGTAATACAACGGAGAGTCGCACCTGTAATATGTCCTGGTATATCTCTCTACAGAGTAATACAACGGAGAGTCGCACCTGTAATATGTCCTGGTATATCTCTCTCTACAGAGTAATACAACGGAATACAACGAGTCGCACCTGTAATATGTCCTGGTATATCTCTCTACAGAGTAATACAACGGAGAGTCGCACCTGTAATATGTCCTGGTATATCTCTCTACAGAGTAATACAACGGAGAGTCGCACCTGTAATATGTCCTGGTATATCTCTCTACAGAGTAATATAACGGAGAGTCGCACCTGTAATATGTCCTGGTATATTTCTCTACAGAGTAATACAACGGAGAGTCGCACCTGTAATATGTCCTGGTATATCTCTCTACAGAGTAATACAACGGAGAGTCGCACCTGTAATATGTCCTGGTATATCTCTCTACAGCATTCTGGGCCCGTATTCACAGGGGCATGCATCTCCTTGGGATTTCGTGTTAAAATAGCAGTTAAGCACCCTAAGAGGAGAGTAAACGCATCACTGATTTGTGTGCCAGGTCCTGTCTTGTCCTTTACAGGTCACCGTCATATACATGAAATCTTGTAACCGATGGAGTTACAAATAAATAAATAAATAAATAAATGAATGAATGAATGAATGAATGAATGAATGAATGAATGAATGAATGAATGAATGAATGAATGAATGGATGGATGGATGGATGGATGGATGGATGGATGGACCAGATATATGCTTCTCAACTTGTGATAAAGGTGCGTCTGCCATTTCTTAATACGCTGAACTGATTACAAATAATTGTCACAAAGACAGGCTTCCATATATCAGAATCCTTATGAAATGATCTGGAGAAGATACTCAAATTTCTGAAAACCTGTCAACAGTCGGTAAACTCCGTCTTTCTTCAAGGGAATGTGTGCATAACATTTTTCCGGCTACACAGGCGGCTAAAGTATTCACGTGCCCGAATGGGTGTGGGTTTTAAGGGAGTGGCAAATCTCAGTGCTAATTGATATCGTATTTATTGACCAGCCTTATGTATTCGATTCGATTCGATTCGATTGTTTATTCAGTAAAGACTTGGGCTATATGCCCCTCGTCATCATTTTACGCTGTATACATGATAGAATATGGTTATCCATTGAAATATACATATTTTTACATTTACAAAAGGAGGCTGGACAAAACATTTTTTTACATGCATAACTTTATGTATTTACATAATTTTGCAATACTATATTTAGATGGGTTTCTTAATAATTCCAAAAATTTCAACATACTTGGTTTCTTCCAAAAATAAGGTTTAATCAGCTGTTTTCGATGTACTGTATGTTTTGGGCAAATTAAAACGAAATGATATTCATCTTCAATTATATTTACATTATTTTCTTTACAGTAGATACAATATCTTTTCTCCCGATCAATATTTTCATAACGCTCAGTTTCAATTTTTAATTTATGACACGAAATTCGTATCATAGTTAAATACCTAACAGTGTTTGGATGTAAAGTATCTTAGTATAATTCATATCTAAATTCACTTTGGATATTGCTGTATAGCCTTAATTTACTACTTGAAGTAATGTCATGATGCATTTTTGAATAAAACAATCAATTAAGCGTTGCTTAAAATGACAACACAACGTACTAGAGTCAACACATCCTGGGTCACACCAAACATCCAAAACCATATATAAATAAAACATTTTTAAAATGGAACACCCAGATTTTTACGCCATTATTACACTGTGACAACAACAATTCATAGATTACTTTAAGGAGACAATTTGATGTACATTGCAGTTTGAACCAGTATTTTACAACCCTTAAATATCTATTAATATACAAAGGAAAACGACCTAGTTCACCATATACAGCCATATTAGTAACATTGTGATGAACTTTAAGGATATTTTTACAAAATTTTAAATGTACACGTTCAATTTCAATTGCGTTTTGCAAACCCCAGACTTCACAACCATAGTGCATAGTAGATGTAACAAAAGAATCAAACAGACCACAACATGTTTTAGCAGAAAGGTGACCATTTCTAATGTTATGGAGCAGAACATTCATAGCTTTTGAACCTTTACCAGCTAACAATTTTTGAGTAAATCTGAAATTACCTGTGTATGTAATCATATTACCTAAGTAGTTAAATTACTATACGACAGGTACTGTCCTTAACACTGGCCACGAAATGTGTGATTGACTTTATACTGTAAAGCGTAATTAACGCTACGTCGCCAGTGACATCACCCACTGTGGCTATACAATCATCTGGATTAATCATCTGTTGAGGAGTCCGGACACACACAGCTCGGCCCCGTGAGTGGCGCCAGCTTCACACGTCTGTCCTATCTGAATAGTACAGGTGAGAACAATGAAGTTGTAACCGACACCTGTGTTGCAATTACAGTTAGATATTGACTCGACGACAACCTCTGAGGGTGGTATGTCTCTAGTAACACAAGCCACGTGGAGATCCAGTTTATAATTAGTCATCAGATACCTATATTGGTAAGAGGTGACTAACGAGATCAGGTGGTCAGGCTCGCTGACGAAATGAATTATATCACCCTATTGCGTAGAACGATTCTCAGGATGTCAGTCACTAAATCGTCTGGTCCAGACTCGATTATGAACAAGCCGTCTTCATATAGCCGGAATATCGCTGAATATATCATCCATTTCTTTTACCCCAGCCGTAAAACTCACTCACTTTGAAAAAAAACTGTAAAAGGTAGGGCTGCGCAATATAACCGGTTTACCGGTATTTACCGGTTCAGACATGAAAACGATACGTATTGCGATACGCTGATCGAAAACCGGTATTTTGACATGCATTCGGAAAACTTCGTAACACTCGGAAATCTTCGGATATTTCCGTTTTTTAAATTGTTTCTTTTCCTTGTTTCATTTGTGCCAAACATTATTTACATTTATATGTCATGATTAAAGTTTTTGAAGGCCTAATCCAGCATAGTGATTTTGTTGTGTTTTTGCTTTATAAATCAAGCATTAACTCGATTATAAGTAGTTTTTTGTTAAAAACCTTCTTGCAATATATTGCAATACATATCGCAATATATGCTTCGCATCGCAATATATCGCAATATGAAAATTCCCTGCAATACCCACCCCTAATAAAAGACGTACTAATGCAGATAGGTGTGTGATACCCTTGTCAACATTCTCAAGCCCAAACCATAGACGACAGTCATATAACAGGGCGATGAGTGCTCAAGCAGGTATTCTCAACCACTTCCGACAAGTCTCTTGCTTATTGACCTATCAACCTCCTTCGCTTGACTGATATTGGGACACAAAATCTCGACAACAATTCAGGAGTAATATCAAACGTTCAATTGTGTCTCGTGTTTGACAATGAGCGTGATGACGGTCATATATCAATGGAATCGAATTGGTGACACTGCGGTCAGCCCCATGCCGTCTACTCAGGTCTGGACTTATGTCTAGTCCATATGAATTCAGTCGATTCAACTGCGAAATGAACTTAGCCGATTTCTATTACAGCCAACGCTCTCTTATCCAGCTTATGTTGTACCGTTATATCACCACAACACAATGTTATACACCTTTATCACTAATGATACGGTCGATCTGGTCGGGGCGTTCCAAATCGCCTGCAGCGCTCAAGCTGTTTGAGTGGTGGGTTCGTGCTCAGTCACAGAGCAACGGTAAGCTACTGTGTATTTGACAAAGTGGTGGGGAGAGACAAGGGTTTGCGTGATAGCCAATCAGCCGTATGTCCAAGTCACCATTCCTCGTGGACGTGGAAGTGTCTTCAGTGTATGGCTTATATGAAAAGAAAATAACGCAGGCATATCTGGACCTTGTTAGGAAGACCGTGGGATCACAGCCTCCCGCAATGAGTCTCCGAAATTTGAGTCAATGATTTCAGGAATGTGGGGTAAAGTATTGCTGTGACTATACCCGGATATTAAGGAAATCTGTCCTGGAATGTTGGTTTGTCCTGAGTGACTGCCCCGGGATATACACAGAGTGACTGAAGGACGAATTGATTCAGCAATACCTACCCTGTGTACCCGGGGTACCCAGCCTGGGAATACCTACCCTGAATATCTTATCTAGGAATATCTACCCGGGATACAGGCATCCAGGAATACTTACTCAGAATACCCTACCCAGGAATACTTTCCCGGGATAACCTAGCATCCAGGAACATCTAACCGGAATAACCAACACAGGAATATCTACCCGGAATAACTACCCAAGAATATCCGACCCGTCTATACGCTACTCGGAATACCCTGGAATACCTAACCAGAATATTCTACATAGGAATATCAACCCGGAATATTTTACGCAGGAATATCAACCCGGAATATTTACGCAGGAATATCTACCGGGAATATTTTACGCTGGAATATCTACCCGGAATACCTGAAGCACGTCTCCAACATGGGTTCCAGTGGCAGCACCCAAAAACCTCGTCCGGGGGGTCAGACATCGTCCGTCCGGGGAGTCAGGTACGACACCAATTCATCAGCACCTATACAAACCCATATATCACCCACATGTAGACTATCCACTTCACATGTTTATATGACCGGATCAGAACTGATCTTCAGCAACCCATGCTTGCCGTAAGAGGCAACTTACGGGATCGGGTGGTCAGGCTCGCTGACTTGGTTGACACATGTTATCGTATCCCAGTTGCGTAGATCGATGCTCATGCTGTTGATCACTGGATTGTTTGGCTCAGACTCAATTATTTACAGACCGCCAGGATATAGCTGGGAAATTGTTGAGTGCAGCGTTAAACAACAAACAAATCACATGTTATATACCGACGGACAAAAGAAAGTAAACATTTTAAATTGAATTAGACAAATAAAATACAAACGTTAACAAAACGTCTTGAAACGCTGTAAACGTAATGTCCAAAACACAACTATGACAGCGTATCAAATACATCACTTCCGAAATACTTTGTCGGCATCGTCAAACATGGGTGTACACGTTTCTTTCTTTCTTTTTGGGGGGCGGTGGGGTAGCCTAATGGTTAAAGCGTTGGCTCGTCACGCGGAAGACCCGGGTTCGAATCCCCACATGGGTACTATGTGTGAAGCCCATTTCTGGTGTCCACGGCCGTGATGTTGCTGGAATATTGCTAAAAGCGGCGTAAAACCAAACTCAGTCAGTCAGTCTTTCTTTTTGGCCGGGCAGTTCAAATTCAAGTCATTTATTGTCATCCAAAGCCCTTGTGTCAAAAGGGACTGAGGTTATCGCTAGTCTCTATTTGAGATAGTCCCTGCATTCAAACCACGTCAAGGTACACGGTCAGGGTAGGTTAAGTATACGTCTAATGAACAAACTATGCACCAGTTGAAAATGAAATGGTCGCTCATTTCGTATTAGCCTTGAACGATATATCGCGTCGTGTTTACCGTGTATGTGAGTCACTGAATAAGTTGCTTATCGTCGCTTTGAACATTGTTTATGTTGTATGTCAAACATGGCTCGTTGTGGACAGCTGCGAAGTGACGCAAAGCTCACGAGAACGGGTACCTGCTGGACAAAGCAGGGCCCCGATCCACAAAGCGTTCGTAACGTTACGACCTGTCGTAACTCTATAGTTTATCATAGGCTTACGGATGTCGTAGCGCTACGAACGCTTAGTGGATCGGGGCCCAGGTACCACAATGGGTCTAGTCTCGGGGTGTACCCTATATGAGAATTAGTATCTCAGTGATCTATCACTATAAAACCGGCAGAAGTCAGGCCTGGAATGCACGCACGCGCTCGCGAACGCACACACTTATGCATGCTCTGTAAGTACATCAATCATTGACCAAATGTTAAACACCGCTCGACTTTTCCTAATCATAGTGTATGTGGTCGGAAGTGGTGGGGTCATACAGCTGGAATATTGTTAAGCGCGACGTTAAACAACAACCATTCTCGTTAGTCGAAAAATATCCCATTGGCCACAACAAAGTTACTGCATGGCGGACTGACAATAGGCGGACTGACAATAGGCGGACCGACAATAGGCGGACTGACAATAGGCGGACTGACAATAGGCGGACTGACAATAGGCGGACCGACAATAGGCACAGGACATGATTGATCAAATGACTGTGCAAGTTTTAGTGTGACCAGATAGCCCTCATAAAAAGCATCGTCTAGTCCCTGACCGTGACATCGTAAAGTAACTGGATTAATCTGTCTGAGGCTGACTGAAGGCCCGTCAGACAGGGTACGTGTGAAGGCAGGCACATACAAAAGCAACGTATGAGTAACGAAAACAAATATTCCGAAAGTATATTCATGTAGAAGTATATACAATAATGGTTTGGGGCATTCTATGTTTATGTGGTAATTGCAGGAAAATCCTGACGATTTTATAAAGTCTCTTGAAAACCGAGCAATGAAAATGAAAGCCAGTTATATCGGGGATTCAGAGTAATTGAGTGAATGAGTGAGTGAGTTGGGTTTTACGCCGCTTTTAGCAATATTCCTGCAATTTCACGGCGGGGGACACCAGAAATGGGCTTCACACACACCCATGTGCACCCACGAGCGAACGCTGTGGAGTGAATCGAAAACGGGTCTTATCTTGGCGTGACGAGCGAATGCTCTAATCACTTGATCACTTTTGATTTATATTTTCGTGAGATTTTGTTCTATGTGTCGGCGTTTCAGTGTAATCCTTTTTTTGTTTCATGCGTGAATCAGAAGGTTTTGGTAATAAATGGTCTTTTCAACCCGTGAAGATCCGGGTTAGAATTGGTCTTCGGGTGAGAATCGGGGTGGCTTGCTGACTTGGTCGACACATGGCACCGTATCCCAGTTACGTTGATCGATGCTCATGATGTTGATCACTTGATTGTCTGGTCCAGACTCAATCATTTGCAGACCGCCGTCATAATAGCTGGAATATTGCTGAGTGCTCTGTTAGACAACAATCAAAACAAATGGGTTTTCCCGCTATTTCCGTTTCCCTTTTGTAAACGTTCTGTGAAACTTTAAATGAAAATATGAGACCTCTGTATTTCAGTCCCCTCTCGACGGTACATCGGCCTTAGAAAATGACAACAGTCGGGTAAACAGAACGCATGTTGATGTCACGCTGCACTTCATGTAGTTGTAGTTTGACTTAAGCTTTAACTAAAGGTTCTATTTTGATCCCAACACTCAACAACAAAAGGACAGAATATAGAATCAGGCAAACTGACAAATTCCCGCTGGTTTATATCTGAAATTCAATTTAAATACACGAATAATTTGATTTATGGTCAGTTGAGAATAATGTTTAATAATTCATCAGCTCTAAAAACTCCATACTGAGAGGGGTGGTGAGGCAGCCGTGCGGCTTCACGCCGAAGATACGAGTTCGTTTCTCACATGGATACAATCTGTGAAGCCCTTTTCAGTGATATTGCTGGAATGTTGCTAAATGCGGCGTAAAACTAAACTCACTCGCTCTCAGACTGAGTGTTCAGCTGGCATCCAGAACCTGTGCTGTTGGTGGGTAATAGCAACAGTTAGTTGCTTTGTGGCCAACTAGGTCACTCATTAATTACTGTTGCATATATCATCACTCAATCTATGTCAGGTGACATTAGCAATATAAAGCTTGGTCCAGAGACGTAAATCACGTCTCACCAACCTCACCCGGATGCTCTATGGTACATCACAAAACACACTGCAAAACTGTTATCACTTAATTCGTTGGTTTCACATTAATTTTAGACTCGCTGTGCACACATGCGCAGAGCGTGTAAAAATATCCTCAGGCCATATCCGGTTTGGTCGTAAGCTTTACCGATAGTGTAAACGCACTCTAAAGGAAGCAAAAATCAAAACAAATATATGGTTTTATGTCGAATTTAACTAATCTCCCATCATTTATGAATGGAAGGGACCGGAATCAGTTAAATAAATAGCTTAACGTTTGTTAACAAGCTCTTGTATAAACACATCTCACCACCACCCGTCCACCGTCCTTCCTGCACATCCCCTTCTCACAAGTAAAAAAACACATCTCTGATGCAATGCCACCAAAATAGGACATCAAATATTGAAAAGCATAGGCAAATTGATGTATGTACTCAACTATGAACAGTTGTCACGCGTAAATAATTTTTATACAGCATTTATTTAGAGCGTGTTTACAATATCGCTAATACGACCAAACCGGATATGGCCTAGGGATATTTGTACACGCTCTACGCATGCGCACAGCGAGTCGAAAATTAATGTGAAACCAACGAATGACTCATGCACGTATCTTCCTATCTAAATTGAACTGGACGGTGGGTAGCTTAGTAGTTAAAGCGTTCGCTCGTCACGCCGAAGAGCCGGGTTCGATGCCCCACATTGGTACAATGTGTGAATGTCTGGAGTCCCCCGCCGTGGAATATTGCAAACAGCAGAGTAAAATCACACTCACTCACTAAAGTAAACTCATATGTACCACAACAATCGACTGTGTGCTGAACTCAACTATAGAGAACCGTCCACAGCCACTGGCATATAGGAGTGAGTGAGTGAGTTTAGTTTTACGCCGCTTTTAGCAATATTCCAGCAATATCACGGCGGGGGACACCAGAAATGGGCTTAACACATTGTACCCACGTGGGGAATCGAACCCGGGTCTTCGGCGTGACGAGCGAACGCTTTAACCACTAGGCTACCCCACCGCCCCCTGTCATATAGGAAATTATTCAAATAATCATGTTCAACGTTGTGTTTCTTTACTCCATACACGCGGTGTTAGATAGAATAAAACACGTATACTTATTTATTGTCGGGCTAATGATTAGGGGTGGGTATTGCAGAGAATTTTCATACTGCGATATATTGCGATGCGAAAGCATATATTGCGATATGTATTGCAATATATTGCAAGAAGAATTTGTAAACAAAAACTACTTATAATCGCGCCGCTTTTAGCAATATTCCAAAGCTTTGATTTTTAGAGCAAAACACAATAAAAACAACTATGCTTGATTAAGCTTTAACAACAACCTTTAATCATGACAAAATAGAAATGTAAATAATATTTGGCACAAATGAAACAAGGAAATATCCGAAGATTTCCGAGTGTTACGAAGTTTTCCGAATGCAAGTCAAAATACCGGTTTTTGATCAGCGTATCGCAATACGTATCGTTTTCATGTCTGAACCGGTAAATACCGGTAAACCGGTTATATTGCGCAGCCCTATTAATGATACACTTCAGTCACGATTCCGACTGTAATATATTTCCAACTGACCTATTTGTAGGATCATAGCAAGTATATACAGTGTGTATATACACAAAGAGAATTGCCATCGTCTGTCAAAGCGTGTGATATATCTCCAACCCTACCCCGCCCGTCAGATAACGTTGAACGTCCCCAGATACTAAAAGCCAAGATTTGAGTGATATAAGTAGGGAAACCCCAGCTCCACTTGGGCAGGGTGGTGTTGACAAATATGCGAAGTCACCGGGTGACTGGGTAGCGTCAGATTAGGCGATCTTTATGTTTACCGCCAAAGTAGTCTATGCGTGTATGTGTTTATCGTTATAAAGACGGGGCGGTGCGGTAGCCTAGTGGTTAAAGTATTCGCTCATCCCGCCGAAGGCCGGGTTCGATTCCCCACACGGGTACAATGAGTGAAGCCAAGATGATAAAGAGAAGAATGAAAAAAGACGACGACTAGGAATATTGCTAAAAGCGGCGTAAAACCATACTCACTCACTCGATAAAGACTGTGTACACTCACGCGCATAAGATAGCATACATCAATGCTGGCTTGATACCACAAACAGGAACCGATTGACGGGTATGATGGTTGTAGGTTGGACCTTAACGCTATAGTGTTCACGTAGCCATTCCTTCTGGGCAACGTTTGTATTTTGTTTGTCAAATTCTCAAGCGTGTGTTTTTCCCCGGCAGTATCTACACGTGGGTTGTAGTCATACGTTATGTAGGTCATATCTGATAATAACCTAAAGAGCTTCTTTTCTATGTGTAAATATAGATCTTCAAATTCATACTTGCGCTAATGGGTGCAGTAAAGAATTATTTGTGTATATAGACAGACTGTAAAGAGTCATGAGTAAGGGTCGTATACTTGAAATTATTATTGACATGTTTGTCTGTAGGCCCTCCTCATGGGCGTTTGGGTAGCCTCGTGGTTAAAGCGTTTGCTTGTTGCGCTGAAGACCCGAGTTCGGTTCCCAACATAGATGCAGTATGTGAATATCACCAACCTATGCTTGTCGTAAGAGGGGATCCCGTGGTCAGTCAAACTACCTTTGTTACCATGTATTATTGTATTCCAAGTGCTTACATCGATGCTAATGATGTTAATCACTGGATTGTCTGGTCCAGATTCGATCATTTACTGACCGCCGTCATATAGCTGGAACATTGCTAAGCGTACTGTTAAACAACAAGCAAAACGGCATAATATACTTTCATTTGACTCCATTTTCACAGCCAACCCAAAACAGGCAAGCAGGACATCGGCAATGACAACTCTAGGCTCACCGTCATCGATAGCAACAACCATACGGCAATCCAGAATGGAGACCACCAGAAACAAAATGGCCGCCACAACTCAAATTCACACTCGGGAGAAGATTGTCAGCTGACTCCAGGGAATCACTCTCTTACGTCTCCTAAACATACCCTCCTTCCACCGAAGGCACCCAACAGACATCATGGCCGTGGCAACGATGGCAGACGTCCCTCTATCGCCTATGGAGACAGGCGCCCTCCTACCCGATCTCACAGACCTCGCACAGCGCCCTCTAGGCCAAAGACTTCTATGTCTATCAGCCAGAGGCCAACAATCAGGGGGAGACAAATCTCCACTAAACAGCTACAGAAGGTGGACCAGTTTTCCAGGATTCTACACGGTGATATGTCTGTTGCGTGTCCGTTCTCCGCCAAAATAGTCAGGATCTTCACAAGCAGTACATTCACAGGTAATCGTCAAACCTGATTCAGCTCTTGATCATGTACTTGATCATGTAATTTAATATATCTTCATTTCTTTTGCTAAAAACATTTGCCCAATTCGCCCCCAAGCTCCAACAGTATATCCATTGCTTTTAAACCAGCGCGGGGCGGTGGAGTAGCTTAATGGTTAAAGCGTTCGCTGAACATCCGAGTTCGATTCCCCCCATGTGAATCTCATTCCTGGTGTGCCCCGCCGTGATATTGCTGGAATATTGCAAAAGGCGGCGTAAAAAGATACTCACTCAGCCACTCATTATAACTCAACACAGAATTTCATCTCGCTTCTGATTGGATGGCTATATCAAGCGACTTGCTTCTGCTTCGGGCTCAAAACGAAGCATTCGTCAAAATTCGCCCCTTTCAGTAGACGCACTCCGTCACCACTCGCCTATTTTCGTAACCTCTAAAATGTCATTTGGCTTATCCCGGAATAGCATGAATTGGTCACGAACGCGTATCCCAATTCCGTAGATTGATGTTCATGCTGTTGATCACTGGATTGTCTGGTCCAGACTGGATTATTTACAGACAGCCACCATGTAGCTGGAATATTGCTGAGTGCGGCGTAAAACAACAAACTGAACGGACGTAAACCCCAACCCCCTCCTTCTCTCTCTGTTGCAGACACGGAACACGAGCGGAACGCCTTGATGGAACGCGTGTACCCCCGACTGAAGGAACGCTGCCGGCAGCTGGGGTATGAGTTTCAAGTGGTGGACATGAGGTGGGGTGTCAGGGATGAAGCAACGGATGACCACATGACCTCTGAACTCTGTCTACTGGAAATTGACCTCTGCATGAAGTTGTCAACTGGACCATGCTTTGTGGTGAGCTATTCATTATTCATCTGAAAATGTAAGTTGGTCGAAGACCCACAGTGCTTTGCGGCAGAAGTCGAGTACACACACACACACACACACACACACACACACACACACACACAGAGAGAGAGAGAGAGAGAGAGAGAGAGAGAGAGAGAGAGAGAGAGAGAGAGAGAGAGAGAGAGAGAGAGAGAGAGAGAGAGAGAGAGAGAGAGATCCTTGACCTTGACCGTATTGTTCAAGACCTGTGTTCTAGATTAGACCTGGGCAAAAGAACCTAATGTAAGAAAACAGGTCAAGGACACGACTTCGGCATGAAAGTGGAATAGACCTTGACCTACCTGTAAAGTGCATGAGCTCCACAGGGGAAATGCTTATGGTGCCATCTAATGTTATCTGTTACTGACATGTGTACACCTACCACAGACATTCCTGTCCCACAAGTACGGGTATCGACCCCTGCCCTCCCAGATCAGCTCCCCCGAGTTCCTACTGGTCATGTCGGCGGTGAAGAGGACAGAGGACAAAGATCTCTTATACAGGTACGACTATAACGGTTTTCACCCAGTACATGGTTTATATTTTGGTTGTTGTTTAACATGACGGCGGTCAGGACCAGACAAACCAGTGATTGGCATCACGAGCATCGATCTATGCAATTAGATTACGATGACATACATCAACCTAGTCTAACCGCCAGATCTCGTGAAGGTCCGGGTAAGAATTGGTCTTCAGCAACCAATGCTTGCTGGAATATTGCTGAGTGCGGCGCTAAGCACCAAACCAAACGTTACTCGCCTGTTGGGACAAGCATGGTTTGCTGAAGACAAGTTCTAACCCAGATCTTCACGGGTCTTGTTATAGCAAGTGTCCAGCAACTTATGTTGTTCCCTAGGGGCGAGCATTGGGTCGCACAGTCAAGGTCAGAATCACGACGGCGGGGATCGGTCTTGACCATATATCAATCACTGGATTAGTTGGTCCTGATTCCATTATTTTGATACAGACCGCGGTCATATTATTGGAATATAGCCAAGAATAGCGCGGAGTTCAACAAGTATGGGAGTAGAATTTAATCAGTGAAAAATAATCCGGTTACTCAGGGCAACGCCCAAATAGGGTGGATATACGGGTGGCATTGTATTTCCACCATTCAAGAACCACTTTTTGTCTGGCACAGCATTTACCAGCCACTAGTGCACTGACCCACACCATGACCCTATTGCTGACTCCATCAAGCCTTCTACCTAATTGTAGTCTTTGTCCGCGGATGTTAAACACATAGACATATAGAGCACAAAAATCCGACTGGTCTCGTTGCGTTATCGTCGCATTGGACCTCCGCCAGTCGCATGCCTGGCGTTCATCTGTATGTTGTGGTATTATGTCGGGTTAGTTAGTGTCACTGCGGTTGACTGTCTTCCGGATATTATTTACTAGATAATAGACACGGGAAATTGATTAGAAATTGGAAAAAGGGTAACGTCAAATAGTGATAGATACGTCTGGGGAACAGGTTGAAGGTCATATCTCTGTTTAATGTCATAGCAACAGTCAACGAACGTTGACACAACACATTGATACAACACAATTGTTCATTTATTTAGCACCTACGGACCTTTGTTTTGTTTTCATCACACAGTTTGATCTGAGTGAGTGAGTGTGGTTCTTAAACTTTCCAAACGAAAACTATATTGTGTTTTCATTGATTACACGAAAGCATTTGACACTGTATGGCGAGCTGGTTTATGGTATATATTATTCAAATATGGTATAAGTGGGAAAATTTTGTCTCTCATTGAAAATATGTATCATAGTATAAAATCTACCATTATGTTAGATAACCATATTTCATCTTACTTTCCATGTAACACAGGAGTCAGACAAGGTGAAAAACTCTCCCCTTTATTATTCTCACTTTTTTTAAATGATGTGGAATCGTTTGTTTATAGTAAAGGTTGTACGGGAATTAACTTACAACAAGAAGATGAAAATAGTATAACAAGCTTGATAAGGTTCATACTCCTCTTATATGCAGACGATGCTGTCCTCGTGATACCACAAATGATCTACAACTGTCCCTAAATGCTTTCCATGACTATTGTACTCAGTGGAAGTTGAAAGTTAATCTGTCTAAAACCAAAATAGTTGTCTTTGGAAGTGGTCCCAGTAAAAACTCAAAGAATAAGTTATGTTTTACAATGGACAAGCCCATTGAAATTGCTGGTAGCTATACTTATCTTGGTATCAAGCTCCATCGAAATGGAAGGTTTGTAACAGCAATTAAAAGTTTAGTAGAAAATGCAACTCTAATTTACCTTTAGATTGTTTGGTATCGGCTTTCGATACTATGATAGTCCCAATACTAATGTATGAGTGAGAAATATGGGGTTTTGAATATCTATCGATAATAGAGAAAACTCATTTAAAATTTCAAAATATGCTTGTGGTCTTCGAAACTCAACTCCCAATGTCATGCTTTATGGGGAACTAGGAAGATATCCGCTATATATTAAGATATATAAAAGAATACTTTCATTCTGACATAAAATAGCTACAAACTCTCTTAAAACGAAATTATCGACCCTTTTATTCAATTACATTATGTCTTCTTCTCCAAATACTTTACCTGAATTGAAATGGTTTTAAATTTGTCAAACAGATCTTAGATAATTGTGGACTCTCAGAAATGTATGATTACCCGTTCCAATGTTTATCAGGATGTTTGGTTCCAAAAGTAGAAACAATACTCAAAGATCAATATTTACAACAATGGCGATGTGAACTAGCATCTAGTCCGAAAGGAGAATTTTGCCAAAATGTTAAAGACAATCCATGCTTTGAAAACTACCTCTTCCTTCCTAAATCTATACATAGTCCAATTCTTAGATTTAAGTTATCAAATCACAATTTACCGATAGAAACAGGTCGCTGGTACAACACTCTTAGAGAAAATAAATTTTGCGATTCTCCGTCTGTTGGGGACGAATTCCATTACCTTTTTAAAAGTGAAGCTCTTCTCCAACAGCGGATGATGTATATTCCCAATTATTTCTATGAATGGCCTAATCTGTTTAAACTTAAACGGCTATTTTCATTTAAGAAAACAAAACATTTGAAAAACCTAACATAATTTTTTAATGCCTTGTCAAATTCACTGAAATTGTAAACGAATTGTGATAATGATAATTTATCTAACTATTCTATTATCCGCCGTCTTGATTGTATATTTATGTTAAACTGTATATCATTATATTCTCATGTACCACCGTGGTGGGTTTTTAGCGAATAAAATGTTCTGTTCTGTTCTGGTTCTACGCCGCTTTTAGCAATATTCCAGCACGATCACGACTGTACACCAGAAATGGGCTTCACACATAGTACCCAGTGGGGGAATCGAACCCGGGTTTCGGCGAGACAAGCGAACGCTTCACCATTAGGCTACCACCTATTTTTCTTGTTAGCGCAGGGAAACAATTTGTGCAATTGTTTCAAGTTGTTTTCTCATATGCATCTTTATTTTCTTTCTTGACATCACGAACAGTCAGACCTGAACGATCATTCGGATTCCTTGTTAATATTTCTTCGTCGCTCGTTTGTTAATTCCTGCTTCTTAATCACCACTTATGCAGTTATAACATTTCATTTTGTCATATTTAACACTGGGTTGGTAAAGATGGTAAAGCTCCATTGATTCTATTATCAGCCAGTCAGCAAGCGGTAGTTTAATGACGCTATGATATAGATATACTGATGTTTTTAGTCAATACTTGTACTCAACAGATGGTACCTTGAAGACGAAAACGCCGACCCCCCTACCTACGTGCTTCAACCAATCAGCTCCCTCTTACCAGACTTCCTGTGTGAAGATGGGGAGCATCAGGTTGCCAAGGATACTTGGTACGAAGTGTCGGACCAGATGAAGATGGCGTTGGAAGAGGCAGCCCGAGAGACGCTGGAGGCTCGTGATGCTCACCGTTACGTCATGTCAGGTACGTCATATTGACAACGTTGTATTCAAAGTTGTATTCTGGCAGATACTGGCTGATTACTGACCACGATTTATCATAAACCTTAATCAAAGAAACGCAAATTACACGAGTCCCCGGCCGCTGCACCTGGGTTTGAATACACAGAACTCGCTGACCATGAGACATACGTGGTACTGAACATGCTCCAACAGATATGACTGGTCAGTAGCAACGCCCTGTGTTTGATATGGGTATGTTTGGGACATAAGATAACACATGTGAAGTTTCTTTTTTTGTTGAGTATGTTACAAACTGGAAACAGGAGTGTGGTGATCAATTATTACTTCCGAGAGTAGAAGTTAACAAGTTCATTGAAGCGGGTTGACGACCACCGACGTCTTAGGTGACGGTCGAGTCAATCAGGTGGTGTTTCAATTGCATTTAATGGTATAAAAATAATTAAGGTATTGCAACTATGTAACTGACATCATTATTTCCATTTATTTAAAACGGAAAAAAAATCTTTCAGTATCCAAAATATTCATTTCGCAACCTGTTTATAAGTTGGACAATTAGTCACCGATTCCTGGAAAAAAAACCCGCCGTATCACTTCTCTGTGAGCTTGCGCGCGCATCTGTCCCGATCGAATGCGTGTCAGTCGTTCTGAAATCTGAAATCACAAGCTAAATGACCGCAAATATGAAAACTGACTATTTTTATCCCCATGACGCTCAACGCTAGATATGCATACTGACGTTGTGTTCAGCATTTCGGCCATAACGCTCACGGTCAGGGATATACATGTACACATTGAAGTTGATATCGGTATTGAAGTCAAGCTGCTCTAGGTCAGGTAAGCATATTGTTGTTGATATTGGTATTAGAGTGAAGCTGCTCTAGGTAAGGTAAGCATATTGTCGTTGATATCGGTATTGAAGTCAAGCTGCTCCAGGTCAGGTAAGCATATTGTCGTTGATATCGGTATTGAAGTCAAGCTGCTCCAGGTCAGGTAAGCATATTGAAGTTGATATCGGTATTGAAGTCAAGCTGCTCTAGGTCAGGTAAGCATATTGAAGTTGATATCGGTATTGAAGTCAAGCTGCTCTAGGTCAGGTAAGCATATTGAAGTTGATATCGGTATTGAAGTCAAGCTGCTCTAGGTCAGGTAAGCATATTGAAGTTGATATCGGTATTGAAGTCAAGCTGCTCCAGGTCAGGTAAGCATATTGAAGTTGATATCGGTATTGAAGTCAAGCTGCTCCAGGCTAGCTATGAAGCGTTCTCGAACTTCTTAAGCTTCTTAACACATTGCTCCAGGTAAGTTGAATCGGTAGCTAACATATTGAAGTTGATATCGGTATTGAAGCAACGTTTCGAGAATAAGGTAAGCATATTGAAGTTGATATCGGTATTGAAGTCAAGCTGCTCCAGGTCAGGTAAGCATATTGTCGTTGATATCGGTATTGAAGTCAAGCTGCTCCAGGTCAGGTAAGCATATTGATATCGGTATTGAAGTCAAGCTTGGTCAGGTATATTGAAGTTGATATCGGTATTGAAGTCAAGCTGCTCCAGGTCAGGTAAGCATATTGTCGTTGATATCGGTATTGAAGTCAAGCTGCTCTAGGTCAGGTAAGCATATTGAAGTTGATATCGGTATTGAAGTCAAGCTGCTCCAGGTCAGGTAAGCATATTGAAGTTGATATCGGTATTGAAGTCAAGCTGCTCTAGGTCAGGTAAGCATATTGAAGTTGATATCGGTATTGAAGTCAAGCTGCTCCAGGTCAGGTAAGCATATTGAAGTTGATATCGGTATTGAAGTCAAGCTGCTCTAGGTCAGGTAAGCATATTGACGTTGATATCGGTATTGAAGGTCAGGTCAATTGACGTTGATATCGGTATTGAAGTCAAGCTGCTCCAGGTCAGGTAAGCATATTGACGTTGATATCGGTATTGAAGTCAAGCTGCTCTAGGTCAGGTAAGCATATTGAAGTTGATATCGGTATTGAAGTCAAGCTGCTCTAGGTCAGGTAAGCATATTGACGTTGATATTGGTATTGAAGTCAAGCTGCTCTAGGTCAGGTAAGCATATTGACGTTGATATCGGTATTGAAGTCAAGCTGCTCCAGGTCAGGTAAGCATATTGAAGTTGATATCGGTATTGAAGTGAAGCTACTCTAAGTCAGATAAGCATATCAGACACTCAATGTCATACATGAACAAAGGTTTTCCATTTCGTAACTGCCGGAGCTAAACTGATTATTAAGGGTCGATATGCCCCTTATGACCTACTTTAACGGGTCATGGGAGGAGTCGGTAGTACAAGGTGACTATCTGTATGCGTCATCTCGCCCGTTCATTCTCCCGTTTAAGAAATTTTGAAGTATTCTCTTCTTTTTCTTTTCAGTCACCGAACAAGAGATCGCACATGCGCTGTTCACGCCCGACAATGTGGCGGGAAGAAGCGCGTGGTTTGATCGTCGCCTCCGAGACATCGACAAATCGATTGACAATCCTACTTCAGTGTTGTGTAGATATAAAGGTGAACACATCATTTTGACATCATACAGGGGGAAAATTTCATTTTGAAACATGTGACACAAAGGGAAATCCGTTATTCAGGAGGTTACTATTTCCGTCGAAATTAACAACTATTAACAACTTGCTGGTTAACGTATACCTGTTAATGACCCGTAAAACAAGGTGAGATATGATGAGGTATGGGGAAACTGGGTTAAACGTAGCAATTAGATTACTGATAACAAGTACAATCTTTTAAAATCTTTTGGTATGACACAACCAGGGTCTGTTACTCGGACAGACACACTACCCACTAGACCACGGTAACTCGCATAGTACCAGCGCAGATGTTAACATCAGTAAGGAGGGAGGGAGTTCCGTATTCACAGAACTTTCCACCAGGTGTAATATTTAGATGCGACTAACGGGATCGGGTGGTCAGGTTCGCTGACTGGGTTCACACATGTCATCCCAATTGCGTATATCGATGCTCTTGCTGTTGATCACTGGATTGTCTGGTCCAGACTTGATTATTTACAGACCGCCGCCATAAAGCTGGAATATTGCTGAGTGCGGCGTTAAAGAATAAAACAGACAAACCAAACAAATTTGTTGCTTCTTTAAAAAAGGTAATGAAAGAAGAGTTGTTTTGTATGCAGATGTCCGTGGGTCTGACAAACAGATGGAGGAGGCTCGTCATCTGCTGCAGGAGCTGAGAGACAACAAACTACCCATGTGTATACCAGACAAGTGTCACATGACCTACTCAATACAATGGTCGGATAAAGGTGAATGGGTTGACTTTGAATAATGACGTCATGAAGTCGTCATCGTGATTTGGACATCGCATGTTTTACAAACCCCCCCAAAAATAGAAATGAAAGAATTGACAAATTGATGGAAAAGTAAATTTACTGACTCATTTATTTATTTTTTGATAAAATGATTGTAACACATTTGATCACTTCTATCGAACATATTTTGAAGAAAGATCTGACATTTTCGACAGTGTGGATTTAAGTTCTGGTTTGAAGGGTGTTCAGAAGAGCTCATAGGTGGTACCACAGACACTGAGCTCATCATCTACGTTTGTTACGAGGGAGGAGTGCAGAGAAAGGTACAGCCAGGTGTTCGAGAAGCACGTTCACAGACAAAGTTATTTATTCATTAACCTGTGCTGTGCCGTCTCCATCCGTTCTCGAACACCTGGCTGTCCCTTTCTCTGCACTCCTCCCTCGTAACAAATAGTGAACTGTGCCAATATTTTAATGATAGATTGTTAAACAACTTTTTTATTGTTAGGACAAAAATTCTGCATAAACCTCACAGAGTGATTATGATGTTTTGATTATGATCAGCATTTCATTGAGTATTTTATGTTTATAAGTTTTCGAGTTAGATTGCAATTCATCGGTCCGCTTTTGAGCCAAACGGACTATACATAGTCCAAGGCCTTAGCGATGCTATAACCGAAAATATAGCCTGTATACAAAGTGATAAAGAATCTGTGTCACTCCAACTGCCAGTGTAACCTAGTGGGTTAAGTGTATCGCTGACTCGAACGCCGGTACCCCTGTTAACTCTTTAACCTATTGCCATGGGTGACATACCCTTACCACTATGAGCATATTCTCTTTCGCGTACCCACGGACTTTACCTCTGATACACCCCTTCAACTTTCCACCAGGTGTGGATCCCGCCACGGTAAAGGAACACAAGAACTACATCGACCAGTTGTGTGAAGACTTCGAGAAGACGATGTCGGGGATGATCACCCACGGCATCAAGACCAGGGCATCTTCTGACACCGACACAGAGCTGTTTCGGGAGGTGGTTCAACATGTGTCCTTCTGTCAGCAGAAGTGTAGCGCCTTCCATGGGAGAGAGGCCATTCTGAAGGTAGGTTACATGACGGTAGACGCCATTCTGAAGGTAGGTTTTATGACGGTAGACGCCATTCTGAAGGTAGGTTCCATGACGGTAGGCGCCATTCTGGAGGTAGGTTATATGACGGTAGACACCATTCTGAAGGTAGGTTCCATGACGGTAGACGCCATTCTGAAGGTAGGTTACATGATGGTAGACGCCATTCTGAAGGTAGGTTCCATGACGGTAGACGCCATTCTGAAGGTAGGTTATATGACGGTAGACGCCATTCTGAAGGTAGGTTCCATGACGGTAGACGCCATTCTGAAGGTAGGTTCCATGACGGTAGACGCCATTCTGAAGGTAGGTTCCATGACGGTAGACGCCATTCTGAAGGTAGGTTATATGACGGTAGACGCCATTCTGAAGGTAGGTTCCATGACGGTAGACGCCATTCTGAAGGTAGGTTACATGATGGTAGACGCCATTCTGAAGGTAGGTTATATGACGGTAGACGCCATTCTGAAGGTAGGTTCCATGACGGTAGACGCCATTCTGAAGGTAGGTTACATGACGGTAGATGCCATTCTGAAGGTAGGTTATATGACGGTAGACGCCAGTCTTAAGGTAGGTTCCATGATGGTAGACGCCATTCTGAAGGTAGGTTATATGACGGTAGACGCCATTCTGAAGGTAGGTTATATGACGGTATACGCCATTCTGAAGGTAGGTTCCATGACGGTAGACGCCATTCTGAAGGTAGGTTCCATGACGGTAGACGCCATTCTGAAGGTAGGTTCCATGACGGTAGACGCCATTCTGAAGGTAGGTTCCATGACGGTAGATGCCATTCTGAAGGTAGGTTCCATGACGGTAGACGCCATTCTGAAGGTAGGTTCCATGACGGTAGACGCCATTCTGAAGGTAGGTTCCATGACGGTAGACGCCATTCTGAAGGTAGGTTCCATGACGGTAGAAACGCCATTCTGAAGGTAGGTTCCATGACGGTAGATGCCATTCTGAAGGTAGGTTCCATGACGGTAGACTATTCCATTCTGAAGGTAGGTTCCATGACGGTAGACGCCATTCTGAAGGTAGGTTCCATGACAGTAGACATGCCATTCTGAAGGTAGGTTCCATGACGGTAGACGCCAGTCTTAAGGTAGGTTCCATGATGGTAGACGCCATTCTGGAGGTAGGTTATATGACGGTGATTCAGAAGGGTAGGTTCCAGCGCCATTCTGAAGGTAGGTTATATGACGGTGAAGCGCCATTCTGAAGGTAGGTTCCATGACGGTGAGGCGCCATTCTGAAGGTAGGTTCCATGACGGTGGGCGCCATTCTGAAGATAGGTTCCATGACGGTAGATGCCAGTCTTAAGGTAGGTTCCATGATGGTAGAAGCCATTCTGAAGATAGGTTCCATGACGGTAGACGCCATTCTGAAGGTAGGTTACATGACGGTAGACGCCATTCTGAAGGTAGGTTCCATGACGGTAGACGCTATTCTGAAGGTAGGTTACATGACGGTAGACGCCATTCTGAAGGTAGGTTATATGACGGTAGACGCCATTCTGAAGGTAGGTTCCATGACGGTAGACGCCATTCTGAAGGTAGGTTACATGACGGTGAAGCGCCATTCTGAAGGTAGGTTACATGACGGTAGACGCCATTCTGAAGGTAGGTTATATGATGGTAGAGCGCCATTCTGAAGGTAGGTTCCATGACGGTAGGCAGCCATTCTGAAGGTAGGTTCCATGACGGTAGACGCCATTCTGAAGGTAGGTTCCATGATGGTAGAGCGCCATTCTGGAGGTAGGTTATATGACGGTAGAGCGCCATTCTGAAGGTAGGTTTCATGACGGTGAGACGCCATTCTGAAGGTAGGTTATATGACGGTAGGCAGCGTTCTGCATTCTGAAGGTAGGTTCCATGACGGTGAAGCGCCATTCTGAAGGTGGGTTCCATGACGGTAGAGCGCCATTCTGAAGATAGGTTCCATGACGGTAGACGCCAGTCTTAAGGTAGGTTCCATGATGGTAGAAGCCATTCTGAAGATAGGTTCCATGACGGTAGACGCCATTCTGAAGGTAGGTTATATGACGGTAGACGCCATTCTGAAGGTAGGTTCCATGACGGTAGACGCCATTCTGAAGGTAGGTTACATGACGGTAGACGCCATTCTGAAGGTAGGTTATATGGCGGTAGGCATGCCATTCTGAAGGTAGGTTCCATGACGGTAGACGCCATTCTGAAGGTAGGTTACATGACGGTAGACGCCATTCTGAAGGTAGGTTATATGGCGGGTAGACGCCATTCTGAAGGTAGGTTCCATGACGGTAGACGCGCCATTTGAAGGTAGGTTCCATGACGGTAGAGCGCCATTCTGAAGGTAGGTTCCATGATGGTAGACGCCATTCTGGAGGTAGGTTATATGACGGTGAAGGTGGCGCCATTCTGAAGGTAGGTTTCATGACGGTAGACGCCATTCTGAAGGTAGGTTATATGGCGGTAGACGCCATTCTGAAGGTAGGTTCCATGACGGTAGACGCCATTCTGAAGGTGGGTTCCATGACGGTAGACGCCATTCTGAAGATAGGTTCCATGACGGTAGACGCCAGTCTTAAGGTAGGTTCCATGATGGTAGAAGCCATTCTGAAGATAGGTTCCATGACGGTGAAGCGCCATTCTGAAGGTAGGTTATATGGCCGGTAGAGCGCCATTCTGAAGGTAGGTTCCATGACGGTAGGCGCATGCCATTCTGAAGGTAGGTTACATGACGGTAGGCGCCATTCTGAAGGTAGGTTATATGACGGTAGACGCATTCTGAAGGTAGGTTCCATGACAGTAGGTTACATGACCGGCCCATTCTGAAGGTAGGTTACATGACGGTGAGACGCCATTCTGAAGGTAGGTTACATGACGGTGAAGCGCCATTCTGAAGGTAGGTTACATGGCGGTAGACGCCATTCTGAAGGTAGGTTCCATGATGGTAGACGCCATTCTGAAGGTAGGTTCCATGGCGGTAGAGCGCCATTCTGAAGGTAGGTTATATGACGGTAGAAGTTCATGATGGTACCATTCTGAAGGTAGCGCATTCTGAAGGTAGGTTCCATGGCGGTAGATCGCCATTCTGAAGGTAGGTTCCATGGCGGTAGGCGCCATTCTGAAGGTAGGTTCCATGACGGTAGAAGCGCCAGTCTGAAGGTAGGTTACATGATGGTAGGCAGCGCCATTCTGAAGGTAGGTTACATGACGGTAGACGCCATTCTGAAGGTAGCTTCCATGACGGTAGACGCCATTCTGAAGGTAGGTTCCATGACGGTAGACGCCATTCTGAAGGTAGGTTCCATGATGGTAGACGCCATTCTGAAGGTAGGTTCCATGATGGTAGACGCCAGTCTTCAGGAAGGTTACATGATGGTAGACGCCATTCTGAAGGTAGGTTCCATGATGGTAGAAGCCATTCTGAAGGTAGGTTCCATGACGGTAGACGCCAGTCTTAAGGTAGGTTCCATGATGGTAGACGCCAGTCTTAAGGTAGGTTATATGACGGTAGACGCCATTCTGGAGGTAGGTTCCATGACGGTAGACGCCAGTCTTAAGGTAGGTAACATGACGGTAGACGCCATTCTGGAGGTAGGTTCCATGACGGTAGACGCCATCCAGAAGGTATGCTACAGGATGTCAGTCCATTCCAAACGTTTGTCTACATAGACGCCATTCTAAAAATAAGTTTGAAAGAAATGTCATTTCTAAAAAGTAGTTTTCAACATGTCGCAAGGGCTTGAATGATGAAACAAGATAGTCTGAGGCTACTTCTCATCACTGACCGTGATTCATTGTGTTACGCTGTATGTACCAGATGATACACAAGTACGTGACGGGCGATTCTGACAGCCCACTAACGGTCTTTGGTGTGTCTGGAAGCGGGAAGACGTCGGTGGTTGCCATGGCAGCAAAGGAGGCGTCAGAGACACAAGATGATGGGGTCCTGATTGTAAGGTAATGTTTTGAAACACAGTAGCTGTGAGCTCTATAATTTCTATATCAAGAGTTACTTCCCTTGGATCTGTTGACAACTGCAGGTTATAATTCCAGGGCCCGATCCACAAAGCGTTCGTAACGTTACGACCTGTCGTAACTCTATAGGTTATCACAGGCTTACGAATGTCGTAGCGCTACGACTACTTTATGGATCGGGACGCAGGTCCCACAATTGGTTCCGTTTCATAACTCGTGTTTAAACATGGACTTACGACAGTCGTAACGCTAAGAAAGCTTTGCGGGACGGGGCTCTGTCTCTATATGTCATCAACACTATTGCCGTATGCGGTGAGAAAAGTCACTGGCGTTCATCGTGAGTGATTATTATAAACATGACATAATCGTCTAAATAAAGCGTCAGTGTAAAAGAATAGGTTCCATGTGAGATTAGGTTCTGTATTTTGCCGCTCGTTTACATTTTCCTTCATTTCAGGTTCATTGGCACCACGCCAGAAAGTTCCTCCGTTTGCAGCCTTCTGAGGAGTATCACGTCCCAAGTGTGGACCATATATGGGCATGAGGTGCACGACTTGCCGTCAGTAAGTGTTACAACAAAAAACACCTCATCGTGAGTTACCTCGTTAACATACCGGAATGATATACCAACGTACAAAAGAAAGTATACACTTGATGACTTGGTGTTTGGTGAATATGTGGAACATATTAACGCGTGTTTTGATTTGGACTTAGAAGTCAAAGTCTTGGTGTGCTTGTTGCCAAAACACTCCTCCAAAACAATTATACATCATCGAGTGTTTGCTTTCTTTTGTACGTCCCTTCAATGCTCATTCTATGCAAATTAAAGTAAGTGAGTTTTGCTATGCTTTAAGCAATATTCCAGCAACATCAGGGCAAGGAACACTAGAAATGGGCTTCACACATTGTATTTATGTGGGGAATCGAACCCGGGTCTTCGGCGTTACGAGCGAGTTACGAGTATTTTTTAATAGATGAATACTGTATACAGACTTAAATATAGGGACCGCCTCTGTGGTGTAGTGGTTAGAGCGCCCGCCCGGAGAGCGGAACGTCGCGGGTTCGATCCCCGACCGCGTCATACCATAAGACGTTAAAATATGGTACTTGTTGGTCCCTGCCAGGCGCTTGGCATTAATGGGTACAACAAGGACAGTCAGTATAATGTGTCTGAGTGGGGTATTCATGCTTCACTGTGGCATGGTATCTCAGTGGGCTAGCACTATAAAACCAGCTTTAGTCTGGGCTAGTACAAGCAGCTGCACATACACATACACACGCATGCACGTCGTCATATGAGCGAAATATTCTCAAGCACGACGTTAAACCCAATTTCACCTCACCTTATATATAGCTTTCATATACCTCTTATAGTTGTTAGCGGTCTGAGTATAGAGGCGTTCTGTTCAGCAAGCTGCAAGTAAAGCATCTTTCACTCACTCACTGCAGGACTTGAAGGAGCTGAATGGGGTGTTCTACCAGGCTCTGCAGCTGGCCCATGAGAGTAAACCTCTGGTGGTGCTCCTGGACTCTCTTGACCAACTGGACAACTCGGACAATGGTAGGCAGCTGACCTGGCTGCCCACGCACCTGCCGCCGCACGTAAAGCTGGTCGTGTCCACTTTACCGGAGAGCCAGCACGAGTGTCTACAGAGGCTTCAGGTACGCATGCACTCACTGTACACATCGTCTCATTCACCCCAGTGAAATACTAAAACTTTATGGCGCGCATTTGACAGTTGATTTATGATTTATGAGTTATGGCACAATCTTTTTAATAAATAGAGGTGATTTCAAATTTGATTGTTACGTAATGTATGGAATCAGTAAATGCAAGAACAATCAATAAATTATATTGAAACACACAGTTATATATTTACACTCACAAAAGTCCATACAAAAGGTCACATACGGCAGGTGCGCTGAGTAACAGGCTCTGAAACAGGTCCTGAAAGAGTCCATTCCGGGATGCATTGTCACTGTGGAGAGTCTTCATCTGGCTCAGAGTAAAGCAACAGAACTCGCTGATTCTCCCTGATAAATCTTGTAAACGACCCAGCTATTGCAATTGAAATCATTGTTATTCAAGTGAAAATACTGCAAAGCACGCTGTTATATTACTTACCCTCTCTTTAATATAAGCCTGTCAGGATAAAACTAAACCATGGTTGACCGTAACGATTACAGAATCATGGACAAATATATGCTTTTCTCAGCACATGTAGGTTTTGGATAAAATAACAATACTATATGTATAGCTGATGCTAGAATGTGTTGAGAAGAACTATAATGGTTCTCCTTATGCGTTTTACCAATATGGGAAAACGAGCACGTCTTGGGTCACAGATAAGTTGCTCATACTTCACTTTTCACTTGATTTTTAAAACATTGTCCGTTTTCACTCATTGTATCCATATCTGTGTTTGACCACAACAGAAATTAAAACGAGCAAGAGTATGAACAAAATTAGGCTAGTCAAAAGTTTTCCGGGAACACGAAGGTCCCTCCGCTTTCACCTGAATAGACTGCTATGTTCACTCACTACAGGCAATGGTGACGTCCAGAGGCCACTTCATACAAGTGCCCAAACTACCTGACGGGGAAGCGACGGGTATTCTGGACAAGTGGCTGGAGACAGCCGGAAGGAAACTGACCAAAGGCCAGAGGGGGGTCATCAACGCAGCGTTCCGGCAGTGTCCACTGCCCCTCTTCCTGAAGCTTGCGTTCGACGAGGCGCGGCGATGGCGGTCTTTCACTCCTGTGGACGAGACGGTGTTGGAGACAACAGTGAGGGGGTGTATCAAGACTCTCTTCCTGAAGCTGGAGAGAGCTCATGGCAGGATGTTCGTGTCCAGAGCCCTGGGATACCTGACCATTAGTAAGTGACCGTCATCTTGGACTACTACTGTTTGTTTTGTTTGTTTATGTTAAAAACGCCGCACTCAGCAATATTCCAGCTATATGGCGGCGGTCTGTAAATAATCGAGTGTTGACTAGACAATCCAGTGATCAACATCATGAGCATCGATCTACGCATTTTGGATACGATGACATGTGTTAACCAACCAACGTGGGGTAGCCTAGTGGTTAAAGCGTTCGCTCGTCACGCTTAAAACCTTGTTCGATTTCTGGTGTCCCCCACAATAATATTGCTGGAATATTGCTAAAAGCGGCGTAAAACTCATTCGCTCATTGAACAAGGATGTATTTTTTTTCGTTGCATTTTTAAAATCAGAGGCAAAGTTATTTTTTTCCTAGTGTTTTCTGGAACAGATTTTCACTTACCTCTCCACCCTCCTTCGTCTTAAGGTAGACGTGGTCTGACTGAGACCGAGCTGGAGGACATCCTCTCTTGTGACGACGACGTCCTGAACGACGTGTACATGTACTGGACGCCTCCCATACGACGACTACCGCCACTGCTGCTGGTCAGGCTGAAGACAGAATTCAGCCAGTACCTAGGTTGGTGTGTTCTTGTTACACAACTTCATGTTCATCAATAAATCTGATATCTTTGTTTGCATATCCACAATCTGCTTCAGTGATCAGACTTCGTGTTTGACTGATGCGGCCTATCTGAAGACGGCCAGTCATTAACTTCTCTCAACAATACTTTTGGATTTTCATCACCACCAGGTGGCGCTGTGTAACAGTCCAAGTAAACTTAGGCTCAGTATTAATCGTTATTATACTGACAGTATAGCACGAATGCTATACAGTATTATTCGTTTCACTGCTATACTGACAGTATAGCAGTGTAACGAATGATACTGAGCCTAAGTTTACTTAGACTGCGCTGCGTAATAAAATGGAATGCACTCATAACTTTTTCAATTAATTCTGAATAAAATACTGAGATAATTATGACATAATGAGCATAGAGTGCAGCCATTTTGGATTTTCTGCCACCAGGGGGCACTGCTCAGCTGATTCCATATCTAGAAATGTTTGGAATGCTTCGATATATAAGTTTTCTAAATTTGATGCTTTTAGCCCAAAGTGCCTATTTTTTTCCTTAACCGCCCCATTATATAGGTTAAGTGTGTTGCTAATCTTAGCATGTCAAAACCGCAATTCGTATTATGGGTCATGGTCAAGCGTCGTGCTGCCTTTGGACATTCGTCATGTGTTTTAGCATTATTACCACTTGTCTTTAACATGCGTCATGTAATGAACTGTTTACGACCATGTATGTTTTGTTCTACAGTGGACAAGGGAGCCGATGGGGTGAGGGTGTTCTTTTGGTATCACCGGCAGTTTATCGAAGCCGCCTATGAACGCTACTGCAGCGACGACGGTGACCAACAGAAGATGCATGCCGCCCTAGGCGACTTCTTCTCCGGCGTTTGGGCCCATGGTAAGCGTTAGTGAGTGAATATTAGAATGTTTTTTCAGCAATATTGCGGCTGGAGGACACGAGAAGTGGTCTTCAAACATTGTACCCATGGGGAATCAAACCTTATTCCTGACGAGCGAACGCATTTACCACTAGGCTAACCCATTGGCTCATCACTGAAAGCTCGACAGTACTGCAAATAAAATATGCAGCGCCGTGTTACATGTGTTGCCAATCGGTGGTCGCGGGGAGTTAGTCTGGTGACCAAAGCGTTCGTTAGTTACGACAAAGACCCGGGTTCGACATAACAAATTCTTGCCTTCTCTTGGAGAGAGATTTCTTGACGGTGAAGATCCAGGCTAGAATTGGTCTTCAGGAACCCATGCTTGTCGTAGGAGGCGACTAACGGGTGGTCAGGCTCGCTGTCATCGTATCCCAGTTGCGTAGATTGATGCTCATGCTGGTGATCACTGGATTGTTTGGTCCATATTCTATTATTTACAGACCGCTGCCACATAGCTGGAATAGTGCTGAGTGTGGCGTTGGACAACAAGCAAACAAAACTATCGGCCCATCACTGAAAGATCGACGGCACTGCCAATGATACACGCAGCGTCGTGTTACATGTCTTGACCCGTGGTCACGTGTAGGTTATCAAGTTTTACGCAGCCTGCTGAACACGCTGCGTATATATATATATATATATGTTATAATTGATTGTGTATGACGAAATGGAAGACGGAACACGAACAATTGCGCTGTAATCTCCCATGCAGGTGTACAGAAGCCGTACACAGACAAGCAGGGCACTGACCGGAAGGCCGATCGTCACGTGACTGCGCAGCAACTCAGATTCGGTGACTCTTACAACCTGCGTCTCCTGAACAACCTGCCCTTTCACCGACTCCGGGCCGGACAGGTGGCGCTGCTCAAACAGGAGTGTCTCTGTAACTTCAGCTTCCTGCAGGCCAAACTGGTGGCTTCAGGGCTCAGGTGAGGGCTGGATACTATTAGGACTCGGGTTAGGTATAGATACATGTACACGTGAATATTCTGCTTACGGAAGTATTTATTTATTTATTTCCGGTACTGAAAGGCCACAGGCCTGTAGTACAGCACATTTATAAAATCAATATTTACACGCACATGCAATATGCACGAAGAAGAGAAAATAATCAACTGTAGGTAAGATTGTGTTCTGAGATATATTCTGTCCTAAACAACATGGCATAGTAAGCAAACATAGACAAGTTTTGAAGTATAGTATGGTTTTGGGTGTTTAACAATGCTGAAAATTTATAAAGGTTTGGATGGGCACAATAATATTTCTTGATATACAACTTTCTCAGGGAATTATAAGCAGGGCAAGTTAAAAGAAAATGATATTCATCTTCTATTTGGTTAAGATCACATAGTTTGCAAGTTCTATTTTCTTTTTTGACATTTTTAAATCTTCCACTATCGATAAATACATCATGTGAAAAAAATCTCAATCTGCTTAAAGCTATCCTATACTTTTTTTACGTTTAGACATGAAAGATAAATTTCGGCGTCAAAAGTACATTTAAACATCTTCTAATACAAACATTTACTGGAAAGTGACAACTTTTCTTACCATTCTTGCACATAGATATCTTTTAATCTTCGTGTTAGTTCTAAAATAAACTTACCCTCAGAATCAACATACTGATCGTTCCACAAAACCAAACCCTTCCGATAATAGAAAATTTCTAACAGAAGAAACCCAATTTGTGTGTCCATTTTTATCGAATAGCATCATCATATTGTAACATTTCTTTGGTAGCCTATAGGAAGGCATCTTCAGTAATTTTAACCAGTATTTTATAACTCTGATATTTGAAAATAAGTGCATCGGGTATTTACCACATTCTCCATACACCATTGTATTCATCGTATTGGATTTAACGCCAAGAAATCTTTTACATGCTTTCAGTTGAAGTCTTCCGATATCATTGTAATAATTCAAACCCCATATTTCGGCTCCATACAATAAAATTGGCTTAATTTTGGCATCAAATATTTTAAAGTATGAACTTATATCTATGTCTCCAAGTACATTTAATTGTTTAAAGATACCTATCATGACCTTTTGTGCTTGCAAACAAGCGTAATTAACATGTGCTGTCCAAGATAAACAATTACTGAACAACATTCCCAAATATTTGTACGAACTGGTGCATTCTAATTCTTAACCTTTATACAACCATTTCTCGTTTTTTGATAAACGTCCCCCTTTTTAAAAGAGTACTACTTTAGTTTTATTTCCATTTACAGTTAATTTGTATTTGTCACAATATCTCTCAAGTTATTGTATAAGTCTTTTTAAACCTGCAACAGTGCTTGAGAATAACACGATATCGTCTGCAAAAAGCCGAAGAAAAATATGTACTAGGTCAGGATGTAACTGTATTCCATACTCACAATTGCTTTCAATTTGGGTTGCTAATTCATTTATGAAAAATGAGAATAAAAATGGGCTAAGCATACAGCCTTGTCTTACCCCGAGTTGTAGTTCAAAAGATTCTGAGAATCTATTGTTATTCTTAACACGAGCTTTAACATTTTCATACATATTATGAATCAACTTTTCATTTTAGGACTTAGACCATGTGTATTAAAAATAGACCACAGTTTTTTTATCTCTCAACTGAATCAAATGCTTTTTCGAAATCAACGAAAAGTGTATAGAGTTTACCACCTTTGGTGTTGAGGTATCTCTGTATGATAATATATACATATTGTCAGTAGTCGTATATCCATATCTAAATCCTGCCTGGGATTCATTTATTTTATTCAATGCCTCTCCCTAAGTTACTAATCTTCTGTTAATGATAGAAGTGAAAACCTTACTAAAAATACTCAAAAGAGTAATTATTTGGATTATCGATACTGCCTTGTTTATGGAGCGGGACAATAATACCGATTGTCCAACCAGTTGGAAAAATACCATTTTCTAATATTATATTGCATAATAATTCTAAATATGGTGCTAAAATAGCAGCCGAATTCTTAATAAAATCGGGTATTATGTCATCAATGCCTGGTGGTATATTGGGTTTTAAGCATTTAATGCTGTCCAAAATCTCGTCCCTACTAATAGGAGAATCCAGCATATCCTCTGTTATCGCAAAATTAGAGTCAGGAGACATTGACGGATTTGCATCGCCAAGAGAATTATCAGTATTATTATCCGTTTCTAAGTTGAAAAGATTTTTAAAATGTCGATGCCACTCATTCATACTAATATTGTTTTTTGCTACGGTAGAAGTGTTCAAAGTTTTCAGTTTAAGCCAAAACATTTTGAAGTCCGATATGCTATTTTCTATGTCTAACCGCTTTTCTTTAAAGTAATCAAGTCGCTTTTGTTTACACACTGCATTATATTCACTTCTTATCTGACAATATTCTTCATATGACCTCTTATCTTTCGATTTTCTAAACTTTTTTAAAAGCTTACAACGTTTAGTTTTAAGTTTCTCACATTCACTATCATACCATTTGTTTGATATTTTCTTTGATGCACCAATTTTTCTTTTCATATTTTCCGCAGCTAAACAGAAAGCATTAGTGACATGTTTAAAGCTGTCATCAATATTTGTGAATGCGTTATCAACTGATTTATAGAGTAATGATTGAACATGATCGGAAAACAGATTCTCTCTTAATTGTTCAGCTTTATCATTTTCCCAGAAAACTTATAAGCATTATTTGGTACTCACTAAATGTCTGCGAGTTTCTATTTCAACTGTGGAAGTCTGTCCTCCTCCCCTAGGCAAGTTCTCGAGGATTTCCAGGACGCCAGGAACATGTTCAGTGAGGACAGCGCCATTTCAACCATAGGTGATGCACTTCAGCTCTCCCAGGGGGCGCTCATCAAGTACCCATATGAACTGCCATCGCAGCTGCGTGGCAGGATCAAAGAGGACAAGGTGAGTTGCTCACCACATCAAATTCTTATGATTTATTTTTTGTGTGAAAATATATTTTTATCCGTCTTAAAATCTAAAAAACCCACACCATGTGTTTATTTGAAACGGTAGTTCTTGTGTCCGATAGCTAGTATCTTATTTTATAAATTTTGTTATTCATTTATCATTTTTTATATTTTCCTCGCAGGAGTTGCGTCCCTTCCTACAACAGTGCGACGACTCTCTAGCTGGGTACCTGGTAACGAACCAGCCAATCCTGACCCGACCTGGAGGTCAGCTCGTGCACTGCCTGGCCGGTCATAAAGACGATATAACTGGCCTCACTATCACGTGTGACGGGGAATATGCTCTCACATGTGAGTCAATTCTCACCACTCACCCAATTTTGTAACCTACAAGGAAATTCCGCGGTCTTTCGGTTAGAGCTGTTGTCAGAGCTTTACGAAAAGTGGTACTGTGTCAGAATAAAATGTTTTATGATGAAATGTGACGATGGCAAACGATCCTGGTTTGATGAAGGGATGTAACTCTGCAAAGCCAATCTCTATTACACTGTTGCTAATGGGTAAAGGTATTTTGTTGAGTTAAATACCTCAATATCTTATGCAAGTTCACATAAACATGTGTTATATCTTATAGTCGCGTATGTCTCATAATGTCAAAGACCGCCTCCGTGGTGTAGTGGTTAGAGCGTCCGCCCGGAGAGCGGAAGGTCGCGGGTTCGATCCCCGACCGCGTCATACCAAAAAGACGTTAAAATATGGTACCTGCCTGGGGCTCGGCATTAATGGGAACATCAAGGACTGGTCGGTTCGGAGTCAGTATAATGTGTCTGAGTGGGGTATTCATGCTTCACTTTGGCATGGTATCTCAGTGGGCTAGCACTATAAAAAAAACCAGCTTCAGTCTGGGCTAGTACAAGCAGCCGCAAATACACATACACACGCATGCACGTCGTCATATGAGCGAAATATTCTCAAGCACGACGTTAAACCCAATTTCACCTCACCTCACCTCATAATGTCAAACCTTTTAAAAATATATTTTAAAAACTGGCTTCTTATGTTTTTAAAACTAGGTTCAAGAGACAAGACATTGAAGGTCTGGGATGTATATGGAGGAAAGTTGTATCAGTCCATCGACAACGTGGGTGAGGACCCCGACGCCATCAGGCTGTGTTTAAACGACCGTCTGGCTCTTGTCAACCCAGATGGTGCCATACAGGCGTATGAAATCAGTACCGGAAACAGGAAGTACACCATACAAGTTGACTTGAAGGCGCAGTTCTGCTGCGCAGGACCAGGGGAGACAACTGTGGCTGTATTCACCCTCAGCACGGTGCAGCTGTACCGCGCCAATGATGGTCAACTGACGCAGGAAGTGCAGTGCCCGTATGCAGGAGGAGATATCACTATTGGAGATGTGGGGCCCAGTGCGGGTAGGTGCAAAGCGCATTGCATCCTCGATTGTCAAGGATATTCTCCACTTTCTAGGGGTCAATTCTCACGCTGGTTCAGCTGGGATGCATCTTATCTACTTTCAACACAACATTGTGACTGCCATAAGAATCACAACGCCATCTTTATGTAAAGCAAATACGTGAAAACCAACATGGTCCAAATATACTGTTCCAAAAAAGAAACGCATAACCCAGAAATATGTAGCGACAATGTTGTATTTTCAAACATGTATAACTCGTCCACAAATAGACTTTAGTTCATGAATTTTTACACCAGTTTAGAAGGTAATGTCTATACAAGCAAGTGGATAATTTTAGATAACGGAGACGATGAGCGCGATGGTGACCACGAAGCATGGTCCCGACATCGGGTCTCCTGGCTCTCAGTCCAATCTCTCTCAACCTGTTCCGTACAGTTTGACCGGATATCCTCCGAAGTCCAGGCACCCTGGCTGCTGTGCTCTCACCCGTGGCAGTACGATCACGCAACTGTGGTACCCGGATGTACCGATCTTGGGATGTAGTGGTGACTCGAGGTCTGCCTGTTCGGGGACGGTCATTTGTTATACCTGTTTGGTTGTAACGAGCTGCAAGCAGTGATATCGTGCTCAGACTAACATTCAGACGACTGGCAACAGAAAATTGGTGATCTCCAGCGTGCATTCTTTCAATGGTGATGTTCCGTGTCGCAGTGTCAAGACGTGGCGTAGTGATTTGACCTTGAAACTCCTTCAAAACGAATGCCGATTTCCGAAAGTAATCTGGATTTTTATGGCCAGACAATGCATGCTCTTTGCTGCACAATTTCAACTGGAATGTGATTTCTGTTGCGTTGTGGCGATGCCTTTTTAATTCTTGTAAGAAATCTCATCAAAATCAATATTTTCAGGTAAAGTAGATTATTCACTTGTGCAATGGTGTAAAATCATGTTATCAACACTTTTGTTACATATTTTGACGATTGTTTGTACACAATTTGTAATTAATTGGGTTTTTAAAAATACAAAACGCCTATGCGTTTCTTTTTGGGATAGTATATATTTTTTCATAAGGTCCTCCGTATTTTGAAATGCGTTTTTTCACTAACTGCTTAACATATTTTGAAACTTGGATCACTTTGTAATAGTTTTAGATCTAATCGGTTTGTTCCCTAAACATTTATTTGACAAATGTATATTAAGAAAGATCAACCTGACCTGGCTTTTGGAAGTACCTTTATATTTTTAGGACAACGGGGCTTAAAAAGTGGTGGGGAATATTGAGTTTTTATTATTTCACGTCGGAACGTAAACTCTGGAAATTGGAAACACTGAAAGAATACGAACAGACTCATAACTTTCTTCAGTTGTTTCTGCTGTTTCGTCCTAACTAAACTCTTTGATTATATTTTCAAAGGCCATTTTAGAACACAAGATAACGACATATTCTCTGTTAACATTTAATTCGGTTGGTTGTACCTGTTTGGTAGGCAGCGGTAACTACCTTGTCACCACGGATACGGAACAACGTCACCTGTTTGTATTCAACGTCCAAACTTCGACCTTCACCTTCATGAAGGACGTCTTTTCCGCTGGCGACAACGACAGCGGAGAGTCACGAGAAGAGATGGCAACTGTTGATGCTCTTGCCCTCATCGACGACGGCCGCACCATCGTTGTATCCAACATGTTCAGCAACGACCTTCATTTGTTAGACAGTGTCACTTTGGAAGAAATGCGCGTGCTTAAGGGTAGGTCAAGGTCAAAACAGCCCATTCTTGAAATGGAAGTTTAAATGGGGTTAATCGAAGATCCCCACAATTCGCTGCGAAGAATTGCCACTTTTAAGTGTTACACAAACGTGGACTGTGGGTTCGAATCCTCATTCTCCGTGATCATGTCTCTGGGTTTGTCCCATTTTCTGGTGTCCCCCGCCGTGATATTGCTGGAATATTGCTAAAAGCGGCGTAAAACTAAACTCACTCACTCACTGGGTTTGTCAGTACAATACTCGTACATACTGTCCAAACTCCCTCACACTCCATCACCTGTATTATTCAATTAAGTAGATCGATGCTCATGTTGTTGATCACTGGATTGTCTGCTTCAGACTCGATTGTGTACAAATTGCCGTCTTATATAGATGTAATACAGCTGAGTGCGGCCTTAAGCAAAAAGCAAACAAAACCAGTATTATTACAGCAATATGATGATGATATTAATAATCTTGTATATATAATCATGACCACAATTCCAGCCATCAGGGTTCAACAATAATCGACGTCGCCGACTTTGACAACCCTATCCCATATAAATTGGCTGGGGATATATTCCCGACCAGAATCCACACGTTTTGTTTATTTGTTTCTTGTTTAAAGCCGCACTCAGCAATCTTCCAGCTATATAGCAGTGGTTTGTAAATAATCAGGTCTGGACCAGACAATCCAGTGATCAACATCATGAGCATTGGTCTACGCGCGTATAAATGTGACAACCTCCACTGACCCTGACAGTCTGTCACGCATTTCGTAAACTGACGATCTGTGACATTTCAGGATCTCAACGTGACATCCTGGAGAAGTTCCACGTGACTCCAGATTTCCGCTACGTCTACTTCGCCAGCTTCAACAACATCGTGGCCTGGGACGTGCCATCAGAGGAGAGACACGCCATCCTCGGACACCACACTAGTACGTAGCCGACGTTCAGTCTCACAGGTTAAATCCGCACACGGCAATATTCAAGCTCTATGTCTGTAAATCATGGCCAGACAATCCAATGGTTAACAGCATGAGCATCGATCTACGCAAATCGGATACGATGACATGTGTCAACCAAGCCAGCGAGCCTGACCCGATCCCGTTATAGTCGCCTTTTACGACAAGCATGGGTTACTGAAGACCAATTATAGTCCAGATCTTCACGTCTACGAAGTTCATACTGTTTACATTCTACATGATTTATTAAGAGTCCGATGGATTAGTTTGAACACAAGTATATTTTAAATTCTTGAAATAACGAAGATTGGATGTTGATTTAACAGGTTTAAGGTTGTATTTAGATATCGTTTTTGAACCACAACACATTACTTTTAGAAGTTCCAGTATGTTCATTGAAAGTGTTTTTGTATCTGAAAGAGCAAATGACCTCCCCAAGAAATGTTTGTTTTCTGTTTAACGCCGCATTCAGCAATATCCCAGCAATATGGCAGCGGGCAACAACGTCAGCGAGCCTGACCACCCGATCCCCTCAGTCGCCTCTTACGACAAGCATGGGTTACTGAAGACCAGTTCTAACCCGGATCTTTATGGGTCCTCCAAGAAATGACTGATACATTTGTGTGTCCCAGGTTACCACGACGTGGCGACGGCGGACATGGAGCTGGTGGTGACGACGGGGAAGACCATGTGGTGAAGGTATGGGACATCAGCCGGGAGGCGACCACAGACGCCCAGCATGATGGATTCACCATCAGGTAAAGTTACCTTAAATTTCAACCCTGTACAGGTTGCCAAACCCATTGATGTAGTTAACTGTTATGGTCCATATTCCTCTTGCTCGTATACTAGAGTGGGAGAAAGTTGTTGTAATGACCAATGACACTATTCCGTTTGATTCCAAACCAGACAGAACAAGTGATTGAGAATACGAGCACGAAAACCAGGTCACATCAAGCTAAGTCACGGAGCCTGACTACATAATTCGTTAGAGCAAGCATTCTGTACTGGGGCCAGCTGTGACCAGAATCAAGTCTGTAAACTGACGAGCAAAAGAATATATACGCTTGAAATAGGATTAGATAAAAACATTAACAAAAGGTTCGTACGCCGAGTTCAAGGACAGTGAGTTGGAGAGTATAGTTTTACGTCGCTTCCACCAACATCACCGCGGGGGACACCACGGCGGGGGGCTTCACGCAGTGTACCGTTTGTGGGTACACACACTACACACATTACACACACACACTGTACCCATGTGGGGAATCGAACCTCCGTCTTCGGCGTGAAGTCACGGACAGAGTTATGATAGAATGTGCCTGTTTCATTTTCAACCTTCTTGACTTCAGCCGCTTCGCCGTCCTCGACAACCCCCGTTACGTCGTTCTAGTCGGATCATACGACGTCTCCCGCCGCTTCCTGAACGTGTACGACCTGGTGACGTGCGCAAATGTCCGAAAGATGCAGGTGGTGAGTAGTCATCGTCGGTCATCCAGGTTGATTTCTAATCCGTAAAGTTTGTGGAAGGTGATTGCGATGAGATATATCCATGTGGTCAACCAGGTGAAATGAGGAGCAATGTCGCGTTCATTGTTATTTCATTTGTAAAGAGATGCGCATTCACGTGTATGTGTATGTGTGTGCGTGAGTGTACGAATATATGTGTGTCTGTAACTGCCCCTGAGGTTGCGTGTGAGAAAATGAGAGATAGAGAGAGAGAGATAGATAGAGATAGAGAGAGATAGAGATAGAGATATATATATATAGATAGAGATAGCGATAGAGAGAGATAGCGATAGAGAGAGAGAGATAAAGAGATAGAGAGATAGAGAGAGATATATATAGAGAGAGATAGAGATAAATAGCGAGAGAGAGAGAGAGATAGAGATATATAGATAGATATATATATAGATAGAGAGAGAGAGAGAGAGAGAGAGAGAGAGAGAGAGAGAGAGAGAGAGAGAGAGAGAGAGAGAGACCCCATTCCGACCAGTCAATGTCTTACCCCCTGTAATGCCAAACGCGCCTGGCAAGGTCACGGTCAATGATGTGATTCAGACACGATTCCGAGAAACCCTTTCCGAAAAAACACCCTTCTTCATCTTCTGTGTACAAGCAGGGTAGCCCAATGCTGCATGCGTTGTCGTGTCACATCGATCACCAATTCTCGCCAAAGAGTTCAGTGTTACACTGTCTATGATATATTACATCAGTTTGTATGCTGCTAGTAGCCACAGAGTTCATGTTCATTGATTTCATCTTCCAGAATGCGGATATCAAAGACTTGGTTGTCCTTGACAACCACCGAGTGATGGTGAGAGTCGGTCGGAAGCTGAAAATCGTCGACTTTTCCAAGATGGCTGTCACTGTAACATTTCAAGGACAACTTCCGCTCGGGTCGTACAGGGACTTCTGTGTAGTGAAGCCAAGGAAGGGTATGTTGCACAGGTGTATAAGTGGGGATGTAAACGGATGTTGGGCGTAGGGCGGGTGTGAACAGATGTTGATATATATATCGCGGGTGTGAACGGGCGTAGAAAAAACTGAGGTGAATGCCTTTGAGTAACAAATGTCGGTATGGTACGGAAATGAAATGGGTGGGCGAACAACAGATGCAGGTGCAAGGATGTGCAAATGGGTACAGTTCGGCTGCCTATCCTGGGTCCAAGCACAGGGCCGGTCAGCCTGTGAACATCCGGGTTAGAACTGATCATCAGCAACCCAAACTGGTTCTAACAGGCGACTAACAGGTTGAGACTTGTTTGATACATGTAATCGTATCCCAATTATGTAGATCGAAGCCCATGGTGTCACTCACAACTCGATCATTTACAGACAGTTGTCATATAGCTGGAACATTACGGTGTTAAACAACAAACTGACTGACTGACTGAGTTTGGTTTTACGCCGCTTTTAGCAATATTCCAGCAACGACACGGCGGGGGGACACCAGAAATAGGCTTCACACATTGTACCCATGTCGGGATTCGAACCCGGGTCTTCGGCGTGACAAGCCAACGCTTTAACCACTAGGCTACCCCACCGCCCCTAAACAACAAACAACACAAATAGGCCAGCCCGTTTGTTGGGCGTTCTGTTGTTTCTACTGTGTCTCCTGGGGGAAGAACTTAGGCTCTGTAAACTGTATTTGTTTTCGATTACGAGGGTCAACAGTTATACATCTCGTAGTCAAGGTGATAATTTGAGAATCAGATATTAGGATTAGGATTCCTTGAAATGTGTGATACAAACGGTGTAATGTTGCAGAAGTAATGATCGCTTCTCCTTCTTATTGCTTCTTTACATAAATTCGTTTCTTCCAGAGGTCGTGTCTGTCACCAGAGGGCGCCGCAACATCAAAGTGTACAAGACAGCCACAGGGAAAGTGTCCCACGTGATCAAGTCCGAGGAAGAACAGCGGCTCATATGTGTTCTGGTGCGTGAGTCCTTTGTCGGCTGTAAACCCGTATGTGTTCCAGAGAATGTGTGTACCTTTGTGTATTGCATACAGATATTTATATGTAACAAACGCTTAGGCTAATTTTGAATTGGCAAACGTCCACCAGGGGGCGTTTCGATTAGTGTCTGACGTGACCACCGTGTGTTCTTATCATTGCTCTTTATCTCCTTGCATAGACTGAAAATCTTTACGGATTCTGTCCATTCTTCCTGCAACCCTTTGGGCAGTCGTTCAAGTGTCTGTTACGTATGTTAACGGTGACAAACACTCTATGTTCAAGATCTGCCGGGTTCAAATCCGGACATGACATCTGGAAGGCTTTAAAATATATTGTCGTTTGAATTATGAAGCAAATCAACAGTGACCGAGCTATGTGTGGTGTGGAGTTGCCATGTTGAAACATCTCCTTTTCCATTTTGATACTCGGACGAGGCTGACGTTGAAGAATTTGGTCGATGAACCGATTTGCTATGATTCCGATGTACCGATTCCCCTGAGCCACCAGCTAGTTAGATCTCCGTGTATGGCATATGGCTCACCATCTATTTCCCGCCAATCTGTCGACCAGTCGAACGCATTCCGGTTTATATCGACGTAGGTCCTCTTGGACGATCTTGGGCTCATGTGAGACGGGTGTACCGATCCCATAAACGAGATATGGTCAATCATCTAACCTACTCGGCCGCCGCGGCTTTCATGATAGAGACGAATTGAAGCTGCGCTGGCTGGGCGGGTTAGATGGCTGACTTTGTGTGCTGGCGATTAGGTGTCTGACTCTGACTCGAATGGGACTAAACGCTTGTAATACCAAATGTAACACGTGTTGCATATAGTCATTCTATCGCCTTCTGACGTCATTTTGCCTAGTATCTGTTTCTCCCCGTAATGTATTGAACGAACTTTATGGATAACAACTTCTTTATTTCTTGAATGCGACGTCTCGATACAGATTCTTGTACCGTTGTTATTCCTGCTTGACAACGGTACAAGAGTCTGTATCGAAACGTCGTACACATGAAATAAAGAAGTTGTTATCCATAAATGTCGTTCTCTATTGTACGTCTCAACTTCTAAAATGCCACTCAAACAAATTCTCCCGTACAGGCGAACAAATCCGGCACAACTCTCATAGCGGAAACAGAGGAAGGGACATATCTTGTATTTGACCTCAACACACAGAGGTTCCGGTACAAGTTTGACCCCGTGACCTTGAACTTCAGGGAGACATACACGGATGGTGCGTGCGTCACAGAAGATGGTCGATTCTTCATCTTTAACGCAGAGATGATGACAGAAGATGACTCAGCACCCAGTAGGATCTACGTCTGGAACATCAGCAAACGTAAAGAATTGGGCGATGGGAGCTTGGGAAATTATTCTGTTGCTATAAAATAATTTCTATTAATTAAATAAGCCATAGAAAATTGGTGGTATGGTACTTGTGTCTCTGACAATGATTTGCACTGAAATATACCGCATATCTTCCTCTGGTATTCACATTCTCTATCTACTTATCTATAGTAAGTGAGTGAGGTCTTAGCAATGTTCCAGGAATATCGAATAATTAAAACAGCTTTCTAAACATTCCATGTTAATGATTTGAACATGAAAATATTTGATTGGCTCATGGATAATTATTAAACGTCAACGTTATTTTCCACTACAATCTCCGTATTCACCTTTAACCTTACTGTCACGCAAATACTGACGAACATCTATAGGGCCTGTAAGTCTCGCGAGGCGCTACTTCCGGTACTAAGCTGGTTTCCGGTTCCATTTGGCGATATGCGAGACGGGGCCCAGCTTACTTCCGGTTCCACATTTCGGTGACAATCGTATATTCAAGAACCAGTTCTGGTTCAAAATTGCGCGACCGCCAAATATGACTTTACTAGACGGGACCAAGTGTACAACCATTCGTGGCTGTCACAGCTGTGACAATCTTAATCGTTGGCTAGTTTCGGGATGGTTAGATGGGAAATTTATTGTTCCTGCATGGATATCGGTTCCTTACTGTCAATTTGGCAACCATGAGTCCTTTCGAAAAGGTATGAAACGTTTTGTCACCGGAAGTACTACACAACGTAAGGTCTCGCGAAGTGCTGTGACCTACATACGGGCCCTATTTGTCCACTTCTCTGTAACCTATGCCAGCTGAAAGACGCTTCCGAACAGAGTCTCCGTGGATTAAGTGATGCCATACCTGGACAACATTGCCTAAAGTATCAGTCACCGAAATGTCTGGTGCGGACTCGAATATTTGTCCTGAATATTGCTGCGTGCGGCGTTAAACAGGAAACATTCTCCAACTCACTGACTTTAAGTGACCTTTCTTTCCCAGCTTTTGAAATGGCAGATGAGGTGTAAAACAATATTCATTCATTCTTCCCCAGGTGTGCTGGAGCATGAACTTACTGATAAGGGTACATACGAGATGTTCATGGATACCGGTGACATCTACTACGACACCAGCGTGGACAGTTTCATTTTCATGCCGCCTTCGTCAGTACTCGCCAACCTCAACGACGGTCGGATGAGGCTCTATGACACCGTCTCAGGTGAGATATCCATCACTTCCTGTGTCCATTTCGTGATACATATATATTGTGTACAATGTGCTAGTATATCAATGATTCACCTGTATGTTACCTTTCGACAAGTTATTAATATTCAAATGTTTTTAACATATTGTCACTTCAGGTAATATGACCATGACCTTGCCAGGCCATGCAAGTGCCCGGATGTGTATACCGGAAGCTGGCCCCTACGTTTTGACACGAGGCACGTGGGTTGAAGACCGGACGTTCAGACTGCTGGACCGGAAGACGTTCCAGAGCGTAGCCACTTTCACACCGGACTTTAATGTGAGTTTTTATCCTAGTTAGCTGGAGGATTGCAGATCGTGACATGGTGTTAAGTCTCGGATTAGTCACAAGTAGGATCCCAGGTTAATTTGTACAGTATGTGTTTTGGTAAATCTGTAAACATCTAGGCATGGAGCACCTTCTAATTACGGTGCGATTAGATCTGTACGCCACTAATTTCCACAGTATTCTGTGTTCGCTGACCACGTGGTCGTCCCTTGCAGGGTTGTTCCAGTAATTTGAGCGTTCGCTCGTAACGCCGAAGTCACGTGATCCAAACTCAACATGGGACCTTATGTAAGAGCCCAATTCTGCCGTCCCTTCAAGGGACGTTGCAGAAATATTGCTAAAAGCTGTGCAAAATCAAACTCAGCCCGTGAAAATCCGGGTTAGAATTGGTCTTCAGTAACCCATGCTTTTCGTAAGAGTCGACTAACGGGATCAGGTGGTCAGGCTCGCTGATTTGGTTGACACATGTCATCGCATCCCAGTTGCGTAGATCGATGCTCATACTGTTGATCACTGGATTGTCTGGTCCAGACTTGATTATTTAACCACCGCCATATAGCTGGAATATTCCTACGTGCGGCGTTAAACAACCGATTCTATCATTACTGGCAAATGCGTTGTCGTGTGCAGCGGCTCTCCACCCAAGCAAGTCTATTTGGCCCAACTATAATCAATTCTTTTATTGTGGCTACGTACACCGTTACCCTTAAATGATCTTAGAATCATGAAAGTCCTGAAGTCTTATGTTTGACTGGGTACGAATCTATACCAACTGACAAAACTGGTATATTTCAAAGGGTATTTCAACACGCGTATGGTGCACATAAACCCAGAAATAGAATCAGGGATAATTCGAACCCACAATCTTAGGTATCTTGCAACTTTGCTTCAAGTTGCGGCGCATGTCGCCCAGCCTGTTCCTCTCAGTGACTGACAGCCACCTATGACAACCTTCCACTTGATGTTCCACAGCTGGCTGAGCTGTTCCTCACCAGCGACGGCCATCACTGCGTCGGCTTCTTCCCCAACTACCCCGACCCCGTGGTATGGACGCTGAGGGACTCGAACGCCCAGAAACGACAAAAGGGATACAAACCACTCTCCGCCTTCACAAGTATCTATGGAGACAAAGGTAAGGGTATCTTCAGCATTGTTTCTTACCATTTGTTCATATTTACAAGTATTTAATCTGTCGTTTAGGCATTCATTGGAGCTAAGGCAACAAAGATGAGGACACCTTGATATATAATTCTCTCTTTTCGATTATCAGTATCTATATCAACAAAGGTAAGTGTAAGTTCAGTTGTGTCTCTCCGCTATCTGTGGCAAGGAAAATATGGTTCCTCTTTCTCCGTATCCATCAGTATGTGGTCCCAGTGTTCCATGGCTAAAGTAAGTTGGGGTACAAGGTGTCCCTTCTTGTTCAACAATATTTGTGGTGGGACATTTCTTTCTCATCGTAAAACAATACCAACGGAGACAACAACCAAAAAGATAGTCAGTGGTTTCTGGTACATCTGTCACCTCATACACATGAGTATGATCATGTAATATAATCAGAGAGAGTCCGAGGTTCGACCGTGAATATCTGTATATTCCGGAAGTAGAAGTGTCTCGGCCCTTCCGGGTTCCTTGATTCCGGAGTGACTGGATTCTCATTGATTCTCCACGTAATGGAGCTGTGCAGTGTTAATGTAATTGTTTTTGTCTGTTGTTTAACTCCCCACTCAACAATATTCCAGCTACATGGCGGCGGCCTGTAAATAATCAAGTCTGAACCAGATCCATTGATCGACATCAAAAGCATCATCATCTGCAACTGGGATAGGGTGACATCCGACCTCCTTTGTAACCTCTTTAGACCAGTTCTAAACCGGATCTTCACAGGTGGCAGTGTTAATGTATTGTTTTCTGGACTTAACACTGCTGTATATGACACTGCTGATGTCGTGTCTGTTTCTGTGTTTCAGTGCCTGTCGTTGTGGCATACCTGGAAACCGCTCAGGACAGCAGGGACGACCCAGGCGACCCCGACACCGACGTGGACGAAACAGAAGACGACGTGATCGACGAAGACGACGCGGATTTTGATGAAGACTGGTATTGATGTTGGACATTTTGGACGCCATCTTTGTTCACAGCAATACTTTCACAGCAAGGCGTATAACTGCCGAATGGACGGATGTAAACTGACGACCGAAAGAAAGTGAACGTTCCAAAATTGGATTTGAGTAAAACCGTACAAAACGTTACAAGGCCGAAAACATTCGTCGAAACACGGCAAACGCAAATGCATATCAAACACATCACCATCAAACACCCATGTCTTGTTTGATTTAACCGCCTTAAAACATCTGTCTATACTTTCTTTTGCTCGAAGGGGCGGCGGGGTAGCCTAATGCTTAAAGTTTCTCTCGTGAAGCTGAAGATCTGGGTTCGATTCCCCATATGGGTAAATGTGTGAAGCCAATTTCTGGTGTCCTCCGCCGTGATATTGCAGGAATATTGCTAAAAGCAGGGTAAAACCCAGCTCACTCACTCACTTTTGCTCGAAAGTGTATTACACATTACTCACATGTTCTAATAATGATCTTTAACTCATGGTGCTGTAAATATGTACATACAGCATAGTTTATACTGTACAATACTGGGATATGGACACAGCACTGGTTGATGTGGTTAAATATGTGTGATGTTTAGATGCATGCATGACATGTGATAATGCATAATACTTCTTGATGAGAACATATATGTTCTTTTCTACGCTGCAATATTTGAGTTAAATGCATTTATTGAAGATCTGTGATATCGTGAACTGTGATAATGTGGCTATTTTTGTAGCCTAGTTGGTATTTGGCTCTTTGCAATATGTATGAAATATGCATTCTTGGCATGTGTATGGTTGATATTTTTCACATGTAAATATGTAATATAGGTATAGTTTACATTTGTCAATTGGCAATATGTGTGATATATGTTTAGTTTGTATTTGTCAATTGGCAATATGTGTGATATATGTTTAGTTTGTATTTGTCAATTGGCAATATGTGTGATATATGTTTAGTTTGTATTTGTCAATTGGCAATATGTGTGATATATGTTTAGTTTGTATTTGTCAATTGGCAATATGTGTGATATATGTTTAGTTTGTATTTGTCAATTGGCAATATGTGATATATGTTTAGTTTGTATGTGTCAATTGGCAATATGTGTGATATATGTTTAGTTTGTATTTGTCAATTGGCAATATGTGTGATATATGTTTAGTTTGTATTTGTCAATTGGCAGTATGTGTGATGTATGTTTAGTTGGTATTCGTTTCTTGATAACATGTGTGATGATTAATGTTTTGATATATGTGTAGCTGGTATGTCTTTACTGACACTATGTGTGATGTATGGGTAGTCAGTGTTCGATATTTCACAAAATGGTATTCATTACTTGCCAATATGTATGATATGCGCATAATAGGTATTCGGTACTTGACGATATATGTGATATGTACAGAGCTGGTATTTCTTACTTGTCAATGCACAATACCTGTCTTAAGCCATGATAATATACAATACCTGTCTTAAGCCATGGTTATGTATGATAATATACAATACCTGTCTTAAGCCATGATTATGTATGATAATATACAATACCTGTCTTAAGCCATGATTATGTATGATAATATAGCAATACCTGTCTTAAGCCATGATTATGTATGATAATCTAATACCTGTCTTAAGCCATGATTATGTATGATAATGACTAATATGTATGATGATTATGTATATAATATCCAATACCTGTCTTAAGCCATGATTATGTATGATAATATACAATACCTGTCTTAAGCCCTGATTATGTATGATAATATCCAATACCTGTCTTAAGCCATGATTTGATGTATGATAATATACAATACCTGTCTTAAGCCATGATTATGTATGATAATATACAATACCTGTCTTAAGCCATGATTATGTATGATAATATACAATACCTGTCTTGAGCCATGATTATGTATGATAATATACAATACCTGTCTTAAGCCATGATTATGTATGATAATATACAATACCTCTCTTAAGCCATGACTATGTATGATAATCTACAATACCTGTCTTAAGCCATGATTATGTATGATCAGACTAGTATACAATACCTGTCTTGAGCCATGATGATGTATGATAATATGCAATACCTGTCTTAAGCCATGATTATGTATGATAATATACAATACCTGTTTTAAGCCCTGATTATGTAATATACAATAATTGATAAGCCATAGTTATGTATGATAATATACAATACCTGTCTTAAGCCATGATTATGTATGATAATATACAATACCTGCCATAGGTCATGACAATGTATGATATTGCACAGTACCGGTTTTAGACTGTGACAATATATGATAATATACAATACCTGTCTGAAACCATGACAATATATAATATTGTACAATACCTGCCTAAAGCCGTGACAATGTATGAAAATGTACCATACCTGTCTTAAGCCGTGTTAATATATGATAATATACAATACTATTTAAGCCATGACAGTGATTTTAAGTTACATCGGCAGTATTTCAGTCATATCGTGCTCAGCCATTACAATATAAAACTTAATATTGCACAGTGCCGGTCTTAAACCATGAGTCCCCGGGGATTTACAGGACGCAAATTCCTGCGTCCTATACGCATACAAATTGACAATGGACGCAACAAAATTTATTAGCGCGTCCACAGGGACTCAGAAAAGGTCCGAATACATTTTGTAAAAATTCCAATCAAGTGACAATAAATTATCACTGAGTTTGCTACTAGCTGGGTTATGGTATCATTTGCAATTTAATTACTGTAATAATGTGATGATCATGATACACAATACAATAACAGTATTAATAATAATAATATTTAAGTGTCTGGGACCCCCATTTTGTTTCCAGGACCCCTGAAAATTAAGAGTATGAGTCCCTCAAATTCAGGACTCCATGTAAATCCCTGCACGAAAATGTACCATACCTGTTTGAAGCCATGACAATATACATTGTATGATATTGTACAATACCTGTCTTGGGTGCTGTCTCATGCTACGAAAATATACAATACCAGTTACAATTCATGACAATATGTGATAATAATACCTGTCTTAAGCCATGACAATATATGAAAATGTATTATATCTGTATCAAATCATGATAATAAACGATAATTCACAATACCTGTCTTAAGCAATGACAATATATGAAAATGTATTATATCTGTATCAAGTCATGATAATAAACGATAATGCATAATACCTGTCTTAAGCCATGACAATATATGAAAATGTATTATATCTGTATCAAGTCATGATAATAAACGATACTTCACAATACCTGTCTAAGCCATGATGATATATGATAATGTACAATACTTGTATCAAGCCATGATAAAGACTGAATATTTACAATACCGGGCAATATGCGTAACAGTGTTACAGTATGATCTGGCATGTGTGCGATATAGCCGAAATTTTTCATTAGGTAACGTTATTCGAAAATTTAGTTGTTAAATTGCGTGTTTAAATGTTTGCACCAATCGTTCCGCGACATTCCTATTACTAAGACGCATTTCCACGCGTTTCCTAAAATCAGGGTCAGGTATGTCCAACATTTAACGTTGTTCCATTTCTGGTGTCCCCTGCCGTGATATTTCTAGACTATCTAAAAGGCGTAAAACTAAACTCACTCAAACTTGGGTGTCTGCATTTTAGTAAAAGCTTAGTTATTAAATTTGCTCGAGGCCTCATTCTTCATTTAGTCAAAGGAAGTGCCCTGTGGGGTACCGTTAGATTTACATACAGCGATGTACAATATGGGAGTAAAGGGTCTGGATTGATCGATACATTTCAACACGTCCTCTGCAAGCTTCAACATTGTGTCTCCATGCCGTATCAACCAAATATCACTACAACACAACTTATATGAGGTGGTTCGTCTAACCATGTTGCGTCGTGTTTGCGTCTGGACCAGACAGACCTTCAGGTGACTGTGTCTACACTAGTTCACCCTGGCATGTTCACACTAACTGGCTGTGTTTGTTTGTTGTTTCACCATGTGTCAACCATGTCAACGAGCCTGATCACCCGACCCCGTTAGTCGCCTCTTACGACCCCGTTAGTCGCCTCTTACGACACGCATGGGTTGCTGAAGACCAATTCTAATCTTCACGGGTTCATACTAGCTAGGTCAAATATCACTATGTCTACGGATGTACAGCTCTCCGTTCTTCATCTGTTATTATCAATATTTGGTGCCAGATCTTAAAAGACATGTTCCTTTCCGACCCAAGGGTAGACTAAACTGACAATATTTTACGACTCCCCTCCGTGACCTCCCCATGGAATTTTAATAACATCCCATAATCCCCTTCCAAGATGGCTGTCCTAGTGGCGTGTGACAAATGGCGGGAGTTGCTGTCAATCCTGAAATCCCAGCTCCCAGACAGTGCTACTGTGAGTATACAGAGTTCCATAGTGACATGTTACGGGTGGATGTCAGTGTAAGGAGATGATGTTGTTGTCAACCACAGAGCCAAGTGTGTAAATAGCGGGGTGCAGGTGCCCACCCGTTAGCTGTGAACACAGACACCCACACAGTTGACCTCTATAAATTGAATGGTCACCAGTTGACACAAGGTGTGTTGAGGCATGCACCTATAGCTGACAGATACCACTGAAGGTACATGTGACCTACAAATCAGAGATACCAATAGTCTGAGTGGGACATTCAAGCCGCCGATTAGAGTTTAACCCGGCTCATAATCATTGATTGCTTGGACGCCATTTTCTGGCAGTTTACGGCTTCTAAACATACGATATGTTTTCTCAGAAAGCCGAACAAGGGACCAATCTTCATATTAGAGCAGGGAGTACGTCGATCTCTATGATTGTGAATTTTTAGGGACCCTCCGTTAATTAATTTTTAAGTCTCAGGCTTTAAAACAAAGGGGTGTGAGTGAGTGAGTATGTTTGTACGCCGCCTTTAGCAAATATTCTAGCAATATCACGGCGGGCGACAATGAGCTTCACACACTGTACCCATGTAGGGAAGAGAGCTCAGGTCTTCGGCGTGACGAGTGAACGCTCTAACCACTATGCTATCCATCGCCCTGAAGACGTTTGAAGATTTCTCCCAAAGTTCCACACGTTCAGGAAACGTTACTAGGCTCAAAACGGTCGCCGAATACCTCAGATTGTAAGTCCAAATTTGAAACTGTAATACCCGTTTCAAGTACGTTACCATTTCATGTTTCTTCGTGTGTACACTTCCATTAAACACGGGTGAATACTTTCTTTTGCACATATCACATATTGTACGCAATGGACGCCCTGTACAGAAGCCAAACTATTTTCTGAAACAAATTACGTTTTTTAGTAAGATCCAAGTGTCCATATTGGTAAACTCATTGGAACATAACCACTGCATTGTCTAACTATTTTGTTTGTAGATATATGGCCAATTAAAGACTTCTGTGAGCGGTGAATGGCCATACTACTCCTTTTGGGTTGACCAATGGCCGAGAGTTACCGCGGTGGTAGCCACGCCCATGTCCGACGTTATGGTTGGTTTTGTATTTACGGGTTTTGTTCTGCTGACTATAACCAACTATTAGACATGTATAGGTTTAGAATTGATCTTCAGCAACCCATGCTTCAAGAGGCGACTAACGGGATTGGGTGGTCAGGTTAGCTGCCTTGGTTGACACATGTCATCGTATCCCAATTGCGTAGACCGATGCACATGCTGTTGATCACTGGATTATCTGGTCCAGACTCGATTATTTACAGATCGCCGTCATATAGCGGGGATATTGCATTGCTATGTTAATAAACTTAACTATTAGGCAAAAGAAAGTATACAACTGAAAACCGTCGATGAAACGTCTCCATCGAATATTCATTTTATTTTTGTTTCATTTTTTAACCCCCATCAAACGTGTGTATATTTTCGTTTGCCCTGATCAAACATGGGTATATACTTTCTTTTGCCATGATCAAAACATGAGTGTATACTTGCTTTTGTCCCGATCAAACATGAGTGTATACTGTATTTTTCCCTGATCAAACATGGATATATATATTTCCCTGATCAAACATGAGTGTATACTCTCTATTGGGCCGGTAAAACATTAGGGTATACGTACTTTCTTTTGCCCCGATCAAACATGGGTGTATAATTTATTTTGCCCCGATCAACGATGGATGTATTCTATATTTTGCCCCCGATGTTTAGTATTAAAGAAGTAATTTTTAATTAAAGATCTGGATTTCAGTACCGTTGCGTTGCAGATGTATATGTTACAGTCAGATTGTGAAATCAGTCATTTCGTGAAATGACTAAACAATTGAGTCATTTCGTAAAATAACTAAGAGGGTCAGCCATTCAACTATCCTTACTGCTCGTTCTCTTTCTTCCTGGAATAACTTTGGTATTCTCTCTGATCCTCTGATTAAAGTTTTAGTCATTTCACGAAATGACTGATTTCTCAATCGGACTGTAACATATACATTATGAGTTTTACTCTAGCTTTACCTGCTATAGACTCATGAACAAAATATTTGTACATAAAAATTTATAAAGCGAAAGTAATTATCCGCTGCACCAAGAACATTTGTGACCAGATCAGTGTGTTAACATTACTGTCAACCGTTACATTGCTTCCAGGATTCCTTCAGCGGGAGGTTTCACGTTATCCACGGACAGGAAGCGGAAGTTGTTTCCAGGCTTCTTCAACATCCGGGCGTCCTGGACAGGAAGCGGGCGATGACCTTCGGTTGGTGACCTCAGCGGGGTGTAAGGGTGAAGGTCATGCGTTGGGATTTTTTTAGTGTATGCTTACTATCGCTTAGTATGGGTTTTAATGCAAACAAATCAACCATGTCATAATAGTGATATGTTTGGTTGTTTTCTATATTTAGCGTAGTTCTATACAAAATATCTTTCTCTAGTTCGTATTATATAATAAGTAGAGAGTATGCATCTATCGATTCTTTTACTACAACTAAGGGACCGATCATAATTTATGGCTGGTGGGGGTGATGATGATTTTTTAAGGAAAGCATGTACAATGTTAATGACCCCCTGCAAAAAAATCAATATATATATATATGTACAAAATATAGTGACCCACAAAATGTAATTTGAAAAACATGTCATGTACAAAATCCGAAATGGGATCCTATCTTTCGACTCTAGGAAAACGTTAGCCAAAACCCTCCGAAACCCATCCATTCGTCGTGCAAATGACGTTGAGTGCCAAATCAGGTTTTGCACGTGCAGTCGATCTTCGCATCGAAGTTTTCTTCATATGCACGTGTTTGCATTGGCCTCAAGAATTGAGAAAAACACTTTGAAACCACAGTTCTAACGGTTCTTGAAATGCCACGATTGTCAAATGTGCAAATTGAACGTGCCGTTGGCATGTTGCAAGCGGGAAGATCAGTTATTGACGTCGCAATGGGATGCAGCCGTCGTATTGTGTATGACTTGCGAGGTCGTCTACAACAAACTGGCACCACTTCTGATCGCCCAAGGTCGGGTCGTCCAAGTGTGACGTCACGAGCAGAAGACAGTCAAATCGTCCTACGTCACATACGTGACAGATTTCTGCCGGCTACACGAACCAGGGCTGAGATGTTTTGAGGTCGACTGTCCTCACAGACCATTCGAAATCGGTTGCGGGTTGCCAATCTCCATTCTCGATGTCCATATCGTGGGCCAATATTGACGCCGTTTCATCAACGTCAACGTCTGCTGTGGGCCCAACGTCACCTCCGATGGACCCAGAGAGACTGGAATCGAGTCGTCTTTAGCGATGAATCCAGGTTTACCCTCAGATTCGCAGACGGCAGGCATAGGAGACGACGTCGTGAATGGTATGCCCAGTGTTGTGTACAGGAAGTCGACAGATTCGGGGGCGGAAGTTGCATGGTGTGGGGTGCTTTCTGTGGGAACAACCGTTCCCGACTTCTGGTCATCCGTGGAAACCTCACAGCTGCTGCTTACCGCGACCAGGTGCTCACCCCTGAACTCGTTCCTTTCATGGCGGCTTATGGCCCAGGTCTACAGTTCCATGATAATGCTCGGCCGCATACCGCGATGTTGACACGAAATTTCCTTCAAAACGCTGGAATCAACGTCATGGACTGGCCATCGATGTCCCCTGACCTTAATCCAATAGAGCACGTTTGGGATGCACTTGGGAGAAGGCTTCGTGGTCTTAGGAACCAACCTCAGAATTTGCAGGAACTTGGCGCTGCCTTGCAAGAGCAATGGCGCAGAATCTCCAATCACGTGTTCACAAGCATCAGGCAGTCGATGAGGAGACGGTGTTTGGCAGTGGTGAATGCGCGGGGCGGCCATACACGATATTGAACTGAGAAATTTCGCATTTTTATTCTTGTGACTTGACATTCTGTATACCCATGTTTTTGAACGGCGGTGTAGCCTAATGGAACTGATTATGGCACTGTCAGTGTATCGAGTACATCACACAGATCTCAGCAATGAAATAATAACAATTTAACCATCTTACCATCTCTTGTTCTTTTACAGTGCCCTGAAGAAAGAATGTAAAGTTTCTTTTTTGACTCAGTATATTTTAATATGTCCCTAAGGACATTACTTTTAATCACGTTGTAACGGGGTCAAAGCACAAGCTCATAACGTCCAGGTTTCATTTCCCATATGGGTACAACATGTGTATCTAACTTAACTCATACCGTGATACTGCTGAAATATTGCTGAAATGATGCTGTTAAATGATACTGACTCCTCTCCATCATACTCTTGTAGACTTACCTCCCCATCTTCTGCCCGCCCTTCGCCATTTGTCCGCTGGGGAGAGAGGTGCCATTACTACCGACGAAACCGGCAACGTGAACACTGTCGACGAGGGAGGCCTAATTACCGTGTATGTGCTCGTATAGCGGAGAAACGGTGTTGTAGGCGTACGTTGGCTGGTCATTAAGGCAGGGCTTCACTACAGAAATATGCTATTCCTCAACTTGTGCTTTTGTCTTTGTCCGGTACAGTTTCCCTCAATAACTCTTCTGGGGCGGTGGGCAGCCTGTTAGTGGTTAAAACATTCGCTCGTGACGCCCCAAAGCTGGGTTCGATTCGCCAAATGTGTACATTATGAGAAGCCCATTTCTGGTTTTCCCACCGTGATATTGCTGGAATATTGCTAAAATAGCGTAAAACACAAATCACTCACTCGTGCTTATTGAGTGAATGGATAAACAACACAATATCGTTTCATATCCCTGGATATAAACCAAATGAACGTGAATTCATAGTTAGTTCCTGAAATCCAACAAAATTAAAGTGAATTCAGAATTAGTCCCTGAAATCAAAATTTAATAGATATGATTCTATGAAGGACAGGGTGGAAAAGGAACTTTTATGTCTCTAAACGCTATAACTATCACAGAGATGATATCACTATCATCACTATCATGAAAAAACATGCAAAAGAGCGTGCTTGTACCTCTTTATAAAATCAAACGGCATATCATATGTATACATTTGCAGTCCTGTCCCAGACAACATGGCCGTGGGTCACGTGACTCGTGATGACGTCACATCCGTATGCGCCACTTGGGAATACAGTGAACCTGGGGTAACCTCTCTTCGTACAGAGGCTTGTGGAAATCAGTCTACCGAGTGTATGCGTGCGCACATCAGACAACCAGCAGCAAGTTGCGCACGCACTTGTCCAGCCTCATCAAATGGTCGGCATGTTGTACGTCGACGTCAACTTCCGGCGTCGCGGCTTGGGTCGATTTGTTGTCAGTCATTTGGCAAAACAGATCTTGATGACGTCACCGATAGCAGCGGCCAAATCAGAACACTCCAATTACGCGTCGCAAGCACTGATGAAAAGTCTGGGGTTTGAATCTCGTTGTAAATACGTGATTGTTTCATTCACTCCAAATGAACAGTCCTGAGTGCTTTGATGTAAGCTGTGCTTAATTTTACAGCAATAACAATAACAAGCATGGGCTGCAGAAGACCAGTTCTAACCCGGATCTTCACGGGTATCCCGCTGATGTATTGCGAGGATCGATGCTCATGATATCTATCACTGGATTGTCTGGTCCAGAGGTGATTATTAATGACTGCCGTCATATAGCTGGAATATTGCGGCGTTAAACAAACAAACAAACAGTCATGAAAATGCTGGAAATCATTTGTGCTTTTTTCATATATTGTTGCTTTTATGTTTATGCTGTTGCCTGTATTCATTGTATATTGATAATTTGACACTATTGACAGAAAATAAAGCTGATTTTACAAGAAATGGTTCGCTTTCAACTGCAGGAAAACGTCAACTTTATTGTCTATATTTACAGTCTCTCTCAGTCTCTAGTCAAATATACCCGTGAAGGTCCGGGTTAGAATGAACCTTCAGCAACCCATGCTTGTCGTAAGAGGCGACTAACGGGATCGGGTGGTCAGGCTCGCTGGCTTGGTTGGTACATGTCATCGGTTCCCAATTGCGCAGGTCGATGCTCATGCTGTTGATCACTGGATTGTCTGGTCCAGACTCGATTATTTACAGACCGCCGCCATATAGTCTGGAATATTGCTGTGTGCGGCGTAAAACTAAACTCACTCACTCACTGTAGTCAAATATCGCAAAGTACTATGCAACATGGAAAGTGATCAATGAAAATCTTACAGCACGATATTAAAGAATTCAGGCCATCACAACTGGTGTGCACGACATAGTTGAAATACGTCACACATTCACACATTTGTGTGAGATCTGTGTGACATGAGATGACTCTTTGGGATAGTAATATGTCCAGAATAAAGAGGCGATTTCATGGATCTTACTCCGGCGATGTGGGTCGTTACTCTTAATATGAAAACTGGCAGCCGTTATATCGCTATAATATATAGTAACAGTGCATAAATGTTCGGACCGCCAACTCCACTGCAGAAACCAAGTGTAAATCTAGAATTAACTTTGGTTATTTCATGCTTGCGTCAGTCTCATCTTTCATCTAAATTCTTATTCGAGTTTTTAACTGAAACAGCCATTATATACTCATGCCAATAATGGTTGTCACCCCCTTCAATTTGTTTTATTGGAGAGGGGGTGTTGGGGTTGGGTTGGGGAGGGGGATGACAACCATTATTGGCATGAGTATATCTACATGAGTGAGTGAGAGTGAGTGAGTGAGTGAGTTTAACGCCGCTATGAACAGTATTCCAGTTATATCACGGCGTATCATCTTCGGGTGGAAGGAGGGGCGATGGGGGTAGCCCAGTGGTTAAAGCGTTCGCTCGTCACGCCGAAGACCCGGGTTCGATTCCCCACATGGGCACAATGTGTGAAGCCCATGTCTTGTGCCCCCGCCGTGATATTGCTGGAATATTGCTAAAAGCGGCGTCAAACCATACTCACTCACTTTCTCAGGTAGAAGGGGAAAATGTGATGGTGGTCTCAGATGTGTATCACACACTAGCTAATATGGTGCTGACAGACCTATAACCATAATCCTGGTGAACCGTGATTGGAAATCATGATCACATGTTCCTGGTGTGCCCAAGGGTGATAACCCTGCACAGCAAATTGCAGCGCCTTTGATGACGAGACCAACCGTTCACCCTTCAATCACATGGCCACGAAACTCCGACTGTAATCTACATCATAAACTGTACGTACGTATATTCAAGGCGTTATTGCACGTATTACCCACTGTCGTAACGAGGCTGATTATTACGCCTCCCGCAGGGGAAACACAGTATTGTAATATAGAGAATTAGACTGGTATGTTCGGCATGCCTCTTTAAGCTTGACACATCAGCAGCAAGATGTGGTAATTAGTAATAAGGGCTATTATTAATTATTACCCGGTAATCAGTCACAGCGGTAGTAACCACTTGTCGATGACGGCGAGAATGGCTGCTTTCAAAACAGCTGCGACGGAAATTACTGAAATATACTTAGTACTAGTAATATAAGCTTTAAACCTGTTGGGCATATCCTTCTCCGCCGTCAAAAAGTAAGTATGATTTTTCATTTGATTTTTAACACTTTTTTAAAAAAAAATGTCTTTCCATGTCACCTTCGAATAAATCCAGTTTTATATTACACAGAGACCAGATTATCCCCCTGATTGTGTTATTTGTGTAGAAAAGTGATCTGACGGATCATCATCATCATAAATGACAGTTAATCGTGGATATTCCTACCTTTTATGTGATTTATGGTTGTAATACACGTTTAAGTAATCTTACATGTCTGCCCGGATATCTATTCATCCAGACAATTGATGCACTAGAGTTGTCCAGATAAACGAGTGGCTGTTTATTCATGTCTGCATGTGTTATTAAGTGACTATGTACACATGACGTGTCGCCCGATTGGACATTAATATCTCCTTGCCCGTCGACTAGTGGTGTTCCGATTAGTTGAAATAATCGAAGATTGGTCGCAGTGACCAAACGACCAAGCAATCGATCACATTTTCTCATAATCGAACACAAACGATTTTGCAACTACTGTTTTAGTGTTTGAAACACTTGACGATGGAACATATCCTAGAAGTTGTCAGGGCTTGAAAACTTGTTTAATTCTTAGAAAACTCTGACTAACTTCACTAACTGAAAAGTCATGACTGAATATTTCTCTAAGATTCCAGAAGGTTTATGTTCATGATATATTAGTCATCACTTTAAAGTAGCAAGTTGCATCATGTTATACATATCTACAATAACAACCTTGATAGGAAAATCTGAAAAATGACGCTAACCAATTTTTTTCGATGATTGTTCGTTGGTAATGAAGCAATCATCAATTGTGAGATTTCAACCAGTTCCCAACACTACCGTCGACTCGATCAGAGGGTGTTCTCCTTGCCCCTCTCCGATACACAACTAGAAACATTACTTGAGAGCAAAATATGCAAGTGGATAGTGTGGGCTGCCAGACATGGCTGGAATAGATGAGTGTCTGGCAGCGTTGTTTGCAAGTCCTCAAAATGACCATATTTATCCGCATAAGATAGAAATTCGTGTTGTGTAAATATATGTACTATTGAGCACTTCTGAGCTTCACCCTTTATATAGTCTGAGATAATCCAGTCTCGATGATGTTCCGAAGAAACACATTCCATTGGGCGTAACAGACAACATAGCGGTGACTATTATGTCAGTGGATCGGTGAAAATAAAAAAATGAACCAGGTGTTCGTGGCCGGCCCTTGTTGGTACACGCACAGTTTCTATATGTCTACCAACCGATACACGTAGTAAATTGCCTCTTCATCGTCATTGAAATTCGTACCCTGTTCAGAAACACCACCGAGCAGGTACCAAGGGAGATTCCTGTGTTCATTACTAACATGTCTGGGACTTGAGTAGGTCAGACTTAAAACGGTAGACGTGGGATAGGTCTGCTTAAGCTCAGACTTGAAGCAGTAGCTCAGACAACATTCCAGAGTATAACTGACCTGTTGGGCTCAGATTTGAACCAGTAGCTCAGATTAGAGTCCAGAGTAGAATACGTCTGTTTGAGCTCAGACTTGAACCAGTAGCTTAGACTACATTCAAGAGTACATTGGACCTGCAGTAGCTCCTGCCTGAACCAGTAGCTCAGACTTGAGTCGGCAGCTCAGACTAGATTCCTGAGTAGAATAGGTCTGCTTGAGTTCAGACTTGAACCAGTTTCAGACTTGAACCAGTAGCTCAGACTTGAACCAGTAGCTCAGACTTGAGTCCTGAGTTCAGAGTAGATTCATTAGACTCAGACTGAACCAGTAGCTCAGACTTGAGTCAGTAGCTCAGACTTGAACCAGTAGCTCAGACTAGAGTCGGCAGCTCAGAGTTCAGACTAGAACCATAGCTCTGCTTGAGTCAGACTTGAACCAGTAGCTCAGACTTGAACCAGTAGCTCAGACTTGAACCAGTAGCTCAGACTTGAGTCGGCAGCTCAGACTAGATTCCTGAGTAGAATAGGTCTGCTTGAGTTCAGACTTGAACCAGTAGCTCAGACTTGAGTCAGTAGCTCAGACTAGATTCCTGAGTAGAATAGGTCTGCTTGAGTTCAGACTTGAACCGTTGAGTGAGTGAAGGTTTATGCCGCTTTTAGCACTGTTCCATCAATATCACGGCGAGGGACACCAGACTTGAACCAGTAGCTTAGATTCGATTCCAGAGTAGATTAGGCCGGCAGTAGCACAGATGGTCCGCTGATAACACTTTTGACAAAATTTACATGAAATCAAAGAAATCGTTATAAGCCAATGAAAACTCTGATCTGATTTAGATGTTGCTGTCTCTATTTGATTAATTAATCATCTAGACCGGTACGATTAAATGCAGATCCGCAGTTATGTCGCAGGACTTATTTGTTTACTTAAATCGGCTTCATACATTGTATACTTCTGGGGAATAGAACACCAGCCTTTGGTGAGATGGGCTAACACTTTAACCACTAGGCTACCCAATCAGGGTAAGGATTGGATATGTACAATTTCTCTTTTGACATAATCTTACAAGCGCGGTGGAAATGTTTTATGTAATGAGAAAGGAATGTTTCCTTTGTTTGTTTGTTGTTCAACGCCGCACTCAGCAATATTCCAGCTATATTCCAGCTATATTGCAGCAGTCTGTAAATAATCGAGTCTGGAAAAGACAATCCAGTGATCAACATCAAGAGCATCGATCTATGCAAATTGGATTCGATGAAAAGTGTCAACGAAGTCATCGAGCCCTGACCACTCAATCCCGTTAGTCGCCTTTTACGACAAGCATGGTTGCTGAAGACCAATTCTAACCCGGATCTTCACGGGTATAGAGAGAATGGAATGAGTAGATCACTGACTGTTCTTTCACAGTATAATGTCCGCTGTTCTTCCTTATTCTGTTAAGCTTATTCCTGGTGGCTGATAGCATGACTGACTGACTGAGTGCATGGTTTGGTTTTACGCCGCTTTTAGCAATATTCCAGCAATCTTCACGGCGGGTACAGAGAAATGGCTTCACACATTGTACCCATGTGTTCTTTCACCCGGTATAATGACCGCAACGCTTTAACCACTAGGCTATTCCCACCGCCCCTTGATAGCATGAACAGCTGTCGGCAAAGACCATGTACAAACTGACTATCGTTATTTCCATTTGTCAATAGCGAACGGTATTTGCACAACTTGCAGAACTGCATGCATGGCCGTCACAGTTTAACTAATTTGTGGCATTGATTATTAATCTGCCTAATTATCATTACAAGCAATTAACCCACGCACAATGTACTCACTCAGCTTGAGGTCGTGTACGGGGCGCTTGCAGTGGTGCTGGATGTATTAGACACTGTTACAGGAACAGCACATCACATCTGGCAAGGTTCAGCATGCAAGGAAAAAAGGTGCCGCATGTGATAGGCACTCAAACGTTTGGACTCGAACGATTGATTGAAGGAAGCAGCCTTATTCTGTTACGGAAACATCTTTAGCGAATTAATTCCACCACCTTTAGTGTGTTTAGTAAAGCATTCTTTTATGTTGATTGAAACACCTTTAGTTTGTCCATTACAGCATCCTTAGTGTTTCGATTGAAGCTCATTTAGAACGTTGCCAATGCAACCTGATTCTGGCAGCGGAAGCACCTTCAGAGGATTGATTGAATCACCTTTTTTGTTGCCAGTGAAGCACCTTTACTGTGTCGATTAAACTGCGTTTCGTATGATGGTTGAAGCAACCGCATTCTGTCAGTTAAAGCACAATTACTGTCGAAATGGAAGCACTTATAGTATGTCGATTGAAGCATGTTTGTGTGTTGATTGAAGCATGTTTGTGTGTTGATTGAAGCACTTTTAATCTATCGGAATAAACAGCTTTAGTCTGTCTGCTGAATCGCTTTTAGTCAGTCTGTTGAAGCAAATGTAGTCCTTTAATTAACACAACCTTTGTCTATCATTTGAAGTAGTTTTAGTCTTCTTCAGAATCATTAAATTGTCGGTCAGAAAACTGAATCTGTCGAAACATCAACATTAGAAGCTAATATCACCATGGAGCATTTCTTGTGAAGCAAAATTTTTAATAAAGTTTAATCTGTTGTTTGAAATATCATTAGTCTTCCACTTCATAACAAGTTCTGTATAAGCACCTTTTATTCTTTCGGTTGAAGCACATTTAATATTTGGATGAAACGACATTACTCGGTTATTCCAAGCACCATTAATATTATCAAAGAAGCATGTGTCGGTTAAAGCACTTTTGATATGTCGTTTGAAGCACTTTTAGTCTGTCGGTTGAAGCAGCTTTTGTGTGTAGATTGAAGAATGTTCAGCATTTCGGTTTAAGCACCTAAAGTCTGTCGATTGAAAGACCCCAAATTTTAAGCACTTTTAGCACAGAGTATCATGCTGTTTATAGCACCATTAAAGTGTCGGTTTTATGCACTTTCAGTCGACAGCAGTTACCAGTTGCCAGGTGAGGCTCGATAGTGTCCGTATATATACTGAGGTGCAAAAGAAACTATATCGACTTTTATCTGCTTGAACATGTAAAGAAATCTTGATAAATTTGGTTATGTCACAATTATTATGATGATTAACATTACCATTCCAAAATATTGTAAAAAGAAATCTGTGGCTTGGTAGTTTTGTCAAAAAAAATAATATATTTGGTCCTATGGAGATTGAGGTCTTTGAGACCATATGCTCCCTACCACGATTGAAGTAATGTAAATTTGTGCCCAAAAGGGTAGAATTATTGATTTTCAAAGATATTTCAAAAATAGATATTATCATAAATTTATATGAAATATATATTAATGCGCTGTTTTACACCACTATGTAAAATCAAATACTGTTAACATCTACTTATATATTATTGCAAACTTAAGATATTTCAATTGTAAACGAAACTTATGATATATTGAACTGAGAGGTATAATTCCTTTCATACTGTAATACTGAGGGTGGATAATGGGCACAATGTATGAAGACCATTTCATGCCGTGATATTGCTGGGATATTGCTAAAAGCGGCGTTAAACTAAACCCACTCACACTCTCAAATCACGCCAGGGATACCATCGATGAGGTTACGAACGGTGTCCGACTTGTTAAGATGAGAGTCCATGTACAGTCTAACACCGTTGTGTCGAGCTTTAATGTTCCGAAACTACGGTTGTCTCGAAGTATTATCTTCATGTTCTTTCTTCTTATGTTACCCGTGAAGATCCGGGGAAGAATAGATCTTCAGCAACCCATGCTTGCCACAAAAGGCGACTATGCTTGTCGTAAGAGGCGACTAACGGGATCGGGTGGTCAGGCTCGCTGACTTGGTTGACACATGTCATCGGTTCCCAATTGGGCAGATTGATGCCCATGCTGTTGATCACTGGAGTGTCTGGTCCAGACTCGATTATTTACAGACCGCCGCCATATAGCTGGAATATTGCTGAGTGCGGCGTAAAGCTAAACTCACTAACTCTCTTCTTATGTTTTTCGGTTGTGTAAAACCTTGAACAATTATTAACGTACGTCAGTTCAACTTCGACAGAAAGGTGTTTAACTCCATATCACAATGATGTACAGAAACATAGGATACACCTCCCATTTGTTTTAGATCCACCCAAGATGAGGATGTTTCTACCCGTCAGTCTGCTCCTGCTGGTGAGCGCCGTCACCTCCTTTACCCTCCCGCCTCCCTCGACTACGTCACAGCCCACGACCACTTCACCGAAACCAAGCACCACACAAGCCCCCACGCCAGCGGGAGAAGGGTCCCAGGCTGACACGAAAGGTATGAAGTCATTGTATAAACGAGAGGAAGAAAGTACTGATGAAGATGCACCCACTGTTTCAGGGGAGACAACCACTGTTGAAACAACAGTAGCAGAGGAGACAACAACCGTTGAAACAACAGTAGCAGAGGAGACAACCGTTGAAACAACAGTAGCAGAGGAGACAACAACCGTTGAAACAACAGTAGCAGAGGAGACAACCGTTGAAACAACAGTTGAAGGGGAGACAACCACTGTTGAAACAACAGTTGAAGGGGAGACAACCACTGTTGAAACAACAGTTGAGGGGGAGACAACCACTGCTGAAACAACAGTTGAAGGGGAGACAACCACTGTTGAAACAACAGTTGAGGGGGAGACAACCACTGCTGAAACAACAGTAGCAGATGATAGAACAACCGTTGAAACAACAGTAGCACAGGAGACAACCACTGTTGCAACAAAAGTTGAAGGGGAGACAACCACTGTTGGAACCACAGAAGGGGAGACAACAACTGTTGGAACAGCAGCTGAAGGGGAGACTACCGCTGGTGAAACAACAGAAGCAGTGAAGGCAACTGCTGTGGTAACAACAGCAGAAGGGGAGACAACTTCTGCTGAAAGTAAAGTGGAGGAAGGTACCAAAACTGGAACTACACTTTTAGGGAAGACCACAGCATCTATTCCTGATACTACACTGGTTCCTTCTCCTCAAGCTATCAGTGCCAAGACACCTCCAGCAAGTGACAATGACAACGCCAAGTCAGCTCCAACAGCAGAGAACAGTATTGTTGCCACATACCAAGTTAATGTCAATATTGCACCTGTAAACGCACCTGCTCCCGTGCAGAAACAGACTGAAGCCCCTCCCAAAGAAGCTCCTCCCAAAGCAACTGTAGCACCTCCTAAAGAAAATACCGAAGCATCCACTCATGCTGAAACTGATGGTGCTGAAACGACTCCAGTGAAAATAGCATCTACTTTGCCAAGAAGTAGAGCATTGTCAACCTCTTCACATTCTGCAACTTCTCCAGAATCATCACCCTCGCCTGAATCTTCAGCCTCCCCAAATCGTCAACATCTCTAAAGGCGCCAACATCTCCTAAATCCTCAACATCCCCAAAATCTTCAACATATCCTAAATCCTCAAAACCTCCTAAATCATCAAAACCTCATAAATCTTCAACATCTCCTAAATCCTCAACATCTCCAAAATCTACAACATCTCCTAAATCGTCCAAACCTCCAAAATCTTCAAAATCTCCAAAATCCTCAACATCTCCTAAATCATCTTCTACAGAAGCGACTGAGACTGATGCAACTACAGGCAATACGCCAACTAACAAAACACCAACGTCTACAGCCCCATCAGGATCTGCCCATGCTGGAAAAGTTACAACCCCAAAGGTGAAAAGGAAAAAAGGTAAACCAACCCCAACACCCAAATCTCAGGGAAAGCCGAAAGGCAAACCCAAGTGGAAAGCACACGGCAAAGGTAAACAGAACAAAAAAGGTGGAGGGCATAAGAAGTGGAAAAATAGACATAAAGGGACTACAACAGTACCTTCAACATCACCATCGTCAACGGTTACATCGACCTCTGACGAGGTCGAGAACACAACTTTGAATGGAGGTGACGTGACTGAAGCTGTGACTCCAGGTTCAACGAGTAAAGACACAAAAACAACGCTGAAAGGTCCCAAACATCATCGAACTACCCCAGAACCCGACACAACAGCTGTCCCTCCAGTACATCCTCTACTGCTGTTCGTGGTAAAGGGGTGAAAAAGGGTCGTCCAAAAGCCCACCCACATCATCCAGGAAGACAGAAACACTCCACATCTTCTCACATACCGGAACAAAAAAAAAAGTGGGAATCTTCTTCTGAGAGTCCTACTGATGAGGAGCACGAGAGTGCCAGTGCACGTACTTCCGGTGACGTTGACGAAGACAGAGCCGGGAACACTAAGGTAACACCAGCCCCTTCAAGGTCATCTGGAAGCCATGGCGACACTTCCGAGAATACTCTTTCTGTCGACGAGGATACAACGACACAGCAAGACATGTCTGATACCAACGCAGGACTTTCAGATGATGATAGTACGTTACAGAGCCCTGGACAGACCCTCAATCTAGGTGATTACATGGGCGATCAGGACTTGACCGGGCGGTAACCGATGTCTCGCAGGCTGCGACTGGACGACAATAAGGATTGTCGTAGTTAATATTATTATCTCCAAATCAGTTTATAATAATTTTATCGTTCCGTAATCATGTTTATATACATCCGTAACTAAGGGCTTCGCATGCGCAACTGCACCGGATATATTACAGATCGGTACCGTGTGTTTTGGTCGCAAACCAACAATGGAACCAGTTTAGATTAGGACGCCGTCTCTATCAATGTTATAGCAGATATATTGGATATGTATGGAAAGTCGTTAATGTCTGTTAATGGTTGGTGAATATCTAATATGCTGAGACTACATGAATAAGTTTTAAGGTCAAGTTCAAGTCAAGCTAGGAAAAAATGCATTTATTACACATTAGTTTGATTGCAACTGTTTCCGCGATTCATCAGCTAATTTTAGAGTTAATCCAGAAGTATATATTAGCATTGAAGGGTCCTGGTTTAGTGTTGCCTCGACGGGACATGGAGGTAATTGTGCCTCGGCTGTCGGGACGCGCACAGGTTTGACTTTCTGGCAGGGACAAGGTAAGCGAAGACACACCACGACTGCACGAGTGAGGGAAATCAACTCCAGCCAGGTACAATTACTTCTCTGTGTCCGGAGGCAGACAAGGGGAGGCAACTCTGTCTCACAGGCTATTTCACCGTGAATTACTGATCATCCCCGCGAAACGAGGCACTTATCCACGGCTGCTTGCCCTCAACTTTCATTCGGCAATGTGTGTATTTAACTACTTCTGCCATGTTTGTTTCTGTGAAAATGAGAGTTGCCTCCCTTTCTGGTTCCAATGTTGCTTAATTGCAAATAATAAAAATATGCATTCCTGTGACTACATAACGATCCGTTAACTATCATTTTCACATATATGTCAAGTAATTGTTAATTATTGCCAGCATACGTTTCTATTTAGTACTTTTTCATTTTGAACGTTTTAATTATTTTTTCTTTTCAAATTACTGATAACGTAAGTGTCTATTGCAGATTCAACAGAGGTCACTATCAAGGCCGGTCATTATACAGTGTGAGTTAAGCTTATGATCCTTTAACTGTTGATACACTTTCCAACCACCAAAGGGGCGGTGGGGTAGCCTAGTGGTTAAAGCGTTGGCTCGTCACGCCGAAGACCCGGGTTCGAATCCCCACATGGGTACAATGTGTGAAGCCCATTTCTGGTGTCCCCCGCCGTGATATTGCTGGAATATTGCTAAAAGCGGCTAAAACACACTCACTCACTCACTCACTCCAACCACCAAACCATCAAACTACACCTCAAATGGTCATCATTCCTGTGTCATGAAGCCATAACTTATCCGAGAAGATCCGGGTTAGAATTGGTCTTCAGCAATGCACGAACCATAACCTTATGACCGCTAGAAAGACACAAGGATGGTCGGTTGGATGGTTGGATGGTTGGTTGTTGTTTAACGCCGCACTCAGCAATATTCCAGCTAATGGCGGCGTTCTGTCAATCACCGAACCTGGACCAGACAATCCAGTGATCGACAGCTTGAAGATACGATGACATGCGTCAGCCAAGTCAGCGAGCCTGACCACCCGATCCCGTTAGTCGTCTCTTACAACAAGCATGGGTTACTGAAGATCAATTCAAACCCGGATCTTCATGGGTTATTGGGAATATTCCACCTAAACAATAATACCTTTGGTCGCGTGTTTGATGTTACCGCTATGCCTCTTTCTCTGAACAGCACCGTCAGCCATGACATCCTCGACGCTATTGTCAACTTCTTCAACGCAGTCGACGCAAATGCGGATGACGTCATCGACAGCGTTGAGGTCACGGACCAGTGGGAGCTACTGGATGCCGACAGTGAGTGGGTCATGACTGCTGATGTAGCTACATTAAACTACGGTTATAACGAATTCAAAGGGACCACTAATTTTAGTTCGTTATAACCGTATTTCGTTATACACATTTCGAATAAATATTTCGACAAGTGGTATCCTCGATTACCTAGGATATTTTATTTTCGCCATATTGTTTTCATAGGTTTTTTTTCGGTAGTCATGTAACCACTTCCATCGCTCCCGTCTCCAAGGTAGCGCCGAAATTCTCTCGCACGTTTAGTAATTTGATGGAAAAGCTAAATTGCTTACAGTTCTCTTCAAATCTGACTCAAGCGGGGATATGGAGGCGAAGGAACACTGGGTATTGATTGGAAGAGAATGTAGATCAAATATTACCACAGTAGGTGAGGTTAAAGGGTAGACTCTTCATGTGGGAGGTCGGGGTTCGAATCCTCACATTAAAATGTGTTGGTTGGTTGTGTACGCCGCACACTCAGCAATGTTCCAGCTGTATGGTACAATGTGTGAAGATCACACCCTGTTTCCCCGCGTTTGCTGAAACGGCGTAAAACTATACTCTCTCGTTGTAGGTGATGGAGTCCTGAGCGCCGAGGAAATCCATGGCAAGATGACGTGGTTCGAGCTTTACGCCTTGGACGTCGACGGAGACGGTATCGCCACCAACACCGAGTTCGAGAAGGCCACCAAGTCACTGGATCTGGACGGTAGGTATCAATCACACATAAAACCTTGGGGCTAAGACTGGTCGTTAGTCTGTGTTGCGGTATGAGAGTTACGGTCATCATAGTGCTAAGATCACCTTGTACAACGGCACCCAGTACCACTACCGCCTGTACTGATTGGTTAACAACTAAAGGTCATGGCCAAAGATAGTATACACCTGTGCTTGTTGTCGGCTGAGAGTAAACAAAAAATAATCATGGTAATTCGATGAAGATGTAATGAAGAAAACGATTTATTGTTATGATCAGTTTGTTTACAGATACTAGACACTCGCCGTCTAGTAGCGATTTGATAACGTCTGTTTTGTAGCAAAACTATATTTCAAGAGCATACTTGACTCTATTTGCCAACAGTTTATATCAGATTTGTCCTTTTCGTGCTTTTCGCCGTCATGCTCAGCAAGCTGAAATACTGATCGATGAATCTCACACAAACAAACATCTGTTATTGTTTCAAGGCATAACTGACAAAAGCTTGGATAATATATGAAATATACATCGTAATGTTGACACGCTCTGTGTGATATATGAAATATACATGATATGTTGACATCAATATGCGAATACCCTTGACGGCGAGTACATAATGGCTGTTACTGACATTTCGCGATCAACACCGAACTGTGACGGAAGCCCCTGATAGTGTCTGCATTGCTCCTATTTATGTGATGTTTGTGATTGCCAATTTTCCTTGTCTGGCTTCTGTGCATTGATGACGGTTTCCCATCTGATTTGGGCTAACGATGTTGTAAATTGCGAAGCTTGTATTTTAAAGGTCAAATGCAATGTAAAAACGTAAAACACAACTTTGCAGATTCTGATACCTTTCGGTATGGACTTACCGAAACAAATCATCAAAAATGCAAATTCAACTTATAATTTTGAAAAATAACGTGATGAAAAAAACCGCGCGAAATCAGAGTTCAAATGTTTCACTAATTTCCCCCCGACTTTTCTGGGGAAAACGGGTTTCAACAGCTTGGCTGCGCTCATAGCACGTGAGCAGTGAAATAGGTTCGCGCAACTTGGAAGCGGGCTGTCCGGTGAATACTCGGTGAAGGCTTTGGTGTGAGCTATTTTCCTAATGTTTTGTTGATATCTCACAGGCGCGAGCTTTTTATATTTAATGACAGTAAATAAACTGTTTATATAATTTCATTTGTCTATTTCACCACACGTTCTTCTTACCGAGTCACTTTCTCAGTTCGATACTTAAAAGCAATGTCATTATTTAGCGTTGACAGAATTTCTAACTGTGATATAGATATGTCGTTGTCACAGACAAAACTCAATGTATTGTTTTATTGACACCTGTGTGTCTGCCTGCCCGTCTGCTAATGACAATATTCAATACACATCTGCGATCACTGACCACATGCAATTTGAACTTAACACCAATCAGGCTATACACCATAAACAAAACGCATTGATTTATGGCCCGAGTTCGGTCTCTGTCACATTATGTAATTACACAGACACGCAGATGTAATACTTGAACACATGACATGTTATGATGTCTGTTGATTGCAAAAGGTTATACACAAAAAATGAGCATGTATTTACAAAACCCAACATCTCTATATATACACACACAATGAGCTGTGAGGGCGGCATCTGCAAATAACCAGCCGTTACACTTGAGTGCACACCCACCCGCTCTGACTGGGTTTGGTATCCCGGCTGCTTCGTTTCTTGGGAAGTAAACCCAAGTACGCAATATTGCACTTTTGATTTGCGATTGTACGCTTATAATTTTGTTTATATGATTTTTCATAACCAGCAATGTATATTTTATGTCATGATAATTGTGTTTTAATTATGTTTGATTTTTTGGTTGCATGTGACCTTTAGTAAATCCACAGGGGCTTGTAACGCTAAACACTGCCATCAAGGTATATACTGTCACTGACGGGGTCTTAGTAGTAAAAAGTCAGCGATTTGATGGGTCATATTTTATTTTTAGCCAATGAGCTCCCTTGTTCTTTTAAGTGCGGGGCAGGTTAAGGCCAAGGTCGTCAATGGCGGACGGGCACGACACAATTCTGTTTGCGATGAATAAATGTACGTAAACATCATCATATGACAGTCAGATGTAAGTGTCTCCGAAAGAATGGCGACTAGCGCGCTGACAGGCGCCATCAGTTCAACATGTTTTGGTGCATGTCGTTTGTGTATACTGTGAAATAAACAAGAAAATGGGTGAGTTACCGCTACAAATTCTGAGCAGGGATTTTGGCTAGGAATCGAGAAATCACGATTTTTCGAGCTTCCGAAGACCCTAGCTCCCAAAGTACTGAAATGTGTGCATACTTTAAACGGGATAAATACAGTGTGCATTGTTGAATTCGCCCTGAAACGAACCTGGTGTGTTGACCTCGTTACAACCCTTTCCTTTTATATAGTACTAAGAGGTGAGGTGAGGTGAAATTGGGTTTAACGTCGTGCTTGAGAATATTTCGCTCATATGACGACGTGCATGCATGTGTATGTGCGGCTGCTTGTACTAGCCCAGACTTAAGCTGGTTTTATAGTGCTAGCTTACTGAGATACCATGCCGCAGTGAAGCATGAATACCCCACTCAGACACATTATACTGACTCCAAGTCGACCAGTTCTTGTTGTACCCATTAATGCCTAGCGCCAGGCAGGGACCAACAAGTACCATATTTTAACGTCTTTTGGTATGACGCGGTCGGGGATCGAACCCGCGACCTTCCGCTCTCCGGGCGGACGCTCTAACCACTACACCACGGAGGCGGTCTATATAGTACTAAGACCCCGTCAGTGACAGTATATACCTTGATGGCAGTTTTTAGCTTACAAGCCCCTGTGGCCTAGTGGTTAAAGTGTTCGCTCGTCACGCCGAAGACCCGGGTTTGAGTCCCCATATATATGGGTACAACGTGTGAGCCCTTTTCTAGAGTCCCCCGCCGTGATTTTGTTGGAATATTCCTAAAAGCGGCGAAAAACTAAACCTCGATCATTCAACTGAGGAAAATGTTTAATTCAACGAAGAACTTGTCATACTGCATGAATCATTTTACACTGTAGCCCCTTTAGTCCGAAACCCGCGCTACTGGGAAATTTTGGGGATGTACTTTCTACCACTTATACCCGGATATTTGTTAATTCGAGCGAATTCGCAGGATAATTACCGTCCGGATAATCGAGGTTATCTAATTCGTGATTAAAAGGTGCTTCAACTTCGGTAGTTTCTCTCTATTGTTACAGCATGTTCTTAACTATATGTGGAAAGTTATCGCCCCTTGACGTGCCAGGATTTGCTGATATTATTTTCAAATGCCTGGTTATTGTCCATAACTTTACCAATTTTTTGTCCTTTCCTCTGTGAGATCTTCCTTGATACATATTTTTCTTGCAGTTTCAGAATTTAGAGACAATACACGCACCTGCAACCCTGCGCGTTCTTTGATCACTCACGTTTTACGTGTCTTCAGTTCAGAATAGGGACACGCGAAAAATATTTCTGCATTTATGTGTTTCAGGAAACGGGAAGGTGGAGCTGAATGAATTTATTGTCATGAATGCGTTGGTGAGTTAATTAACAACCGATGATGAGACTGAGAGGGTAAAGGTCGAAATGACATTGTTTGCAAATTGTGATAAATATCATGTAATATGGTAAAAGTCACGGGATTATTCTATCGCAAAGAACAAATTTATTATTGTAGTACGTTTCACATATTGTTAGAGCTTGTTTCTCTTGCCAAGGGGCGGTGGCATAGCCTAGTGGTAAAAGCCTTTGCTTCGCCTGGGTTCGATTCCCCAAATTGGTACAATGAAATCATTTCTGCCGTCCCTCGCAAGAGTAATCCTTGACTTTGCCTACATGGCGTAAAACCATACTCACTCAATCACTTCTCTTCTCCAGGTTCGGAATCAGAACATTGACAAACACAACACATACCGCCGCTAGAGGTCGCTTCAGTCACTTTCGCCAAGCTGCTGCCTTTTGCTGTGTTGTATTTCTGTATCATATGTTGTATTTAATCTAATTTCTTGATTCTGTTCTATCCAATACACAGTTCTCTGCCTTTCTGTCAGTCGTTATCCTCCGTCTATCTTTATCGCTCTGAGCTTTCGCCTACCTCTGAGTTATCTCCCCTTATGCTATATCTTAACGATGTACTCTCCAAATCAAGTTCAAGGACACTCACAACTAGAACGCTGGATTGCAATACCCACCAGCCACATTAGCTTCAGTCATATGAAGAAATCGGGTGTTCTTTAAGTCTTTTAATTAGTACATTTTGAAGCTCTCTATAAGCCGTAACAGTGATATAATGTAAATAAATGATTTTATTGACCTGTTTACAATAGATATACTTTATTTATGAGTTGGAAGAAGGTCGCCTGACGTCTGTCAATCAAAACATCCCCTATGTATATCTTTTATTATACGTTAGGATCATACATAACATGGATATTTGCTGTGGGAACCATATCTCTGTTGCTCAGTATATAAATGTTTGATTTTAACTTCAGATAAAAGTCTCTTATATAGTGTTCTCAAAATAGATGCCCGCTTTGGAACATACCCTACTAGCAATCCTGCCATATCCGATTTGAATCGTAATCCCACGAAATCTCTAACAGTATTCGTGCCCTAAAGCACTTGTCCTAAAATACGTGTGCTTATATTTTGGAGAACACTGACAGTTAAATTATAAAGTACAGTGGAAGCTGTCAAAACCGGTAGTTGTCCAATCCGGCAAGTTGTCTACACCAGCATAAAATATCAGTCCCGTCCGTGGCTAGTGCATGTATCATCATTTAAAAGCTCTGCAATCCGGCAGCTGACAATTCCGGATATCAACCCGAATATGGGTTTATGCTGTAATCAGCGCTGTCTAATCCGGCGCGTGGCAAGGAGTCGGCTGGATGTGTATTGTGACCAATTAATCTTGCGTTGAAACTACATGGCTGCCGACAAAGACATTTTAATCTTAGTTCAGCATGGGTATACTTGTACATGTAACTGGTGAGTTGACATGTTTATTGTAATGCAACACTGTATTTGAGAGTGACAAAACTTGTTCACTACTTGTCGGAGGTAACCGTGTCATCTGTACAACCCGTCACGCTGTCTAAACCGGATTATTTCTTTAGTCCCAACGAGTGCCGGTTTAGACAGCTTCCACTGTATATTGTTACACGATCTAAAATATGTTCTCGTAATTGAAGGAAGTGAATCATATTTCATTTGTCATCAGATCACGATGCATGCGCTTTGTTGAAGCACAGAAAGTGCGACGGAGATTTGCACTATTAGGGAGAACAGCCCGTAGGTCTTTAGAGCCACAAGAGGCGGTAGGGTAGCCTGATGATTACATCTTCCGCTCGTCATGCCGAAGACCCAGGTTCGATTCCCCACATGGGTACAATGTGTGAATCCCATTTCTGGTGTGCCCCCTGCGGTGATATTGCTGGAATATGGCTAAAAGCGGCGTACAAACATACTCACTCACTTGTCAGTATCAAATTCGATCACAGACAACAGCACAGACATAGGTTCCCACAGCTAAATGGATATGTGTTCGATTGGGAATCTGGTTTTCGCAATCGATTCTGTTGTTTCTAATAAATAATGTACATTTTAACACCTCGCTCTTCTGTTCTTTTATCTGTCTTGTCCAAAGGAACACTGATCTCATTAAAATGATGTACTTGTAATTGTACTGATGAACTGTGATATCTATCACGACTACTGTGTACAGCTGACTGATATAAACACTCTTACATGGAGTATTTGTAGTTATTCCCTCCTAGTTAAATAACGATCTGATACATAGTGACCACTGACATGGGAGGACAGTCCGAAGTCGTACCGGTCACTGACGACAACAACTTTGGCGACACCCACGACCATAGGATTTGACGCTGATGTAGTGGAAACAGAATCTGTCCAACTGGGATTCGAACCCATGACCACAGGCACCTGGCGTGTCCTATTATTATACAATGCCATATACTGCATAATCGATTTCTTGTTGTTTAACGCCGCAATCAGCAATATTCCACCTGTCTGTAAATAATCGACCCTGGACCAAACAATCAAGTGATCAACATCATGAGCATCGATCTACGCAATCATTTGGATACGATGACATGTGTCAACCAAGTCAGCAAGCCTGGCCACCCGATCCCGTTCGTCACTTCTTGGGACAAATATGGGTTGCTGGGGGAGCTTCAGCAATTCGAACGTCTTGTCGAAAAGAACAAAGATGTGTACCCCGTTAGCAGGCTAACAAGGAAAGGATACCCCGCATACTCTCCTCTCCGTTCATATGAGAGGGGGGAAGCCTAATGGTTAAAGCGTTAGTACGCCGAAGACTCGTTTCGATCCCGTACATGGGTACAATGCGCGAAGCCCATTTCTGGTGTCCCCCCTGTCGTCATATTGCTGGAATATTGCTTAAAAGCGGCGTAAAACCATACTCACTCACTTACTCGCCATGACTTGGGGACCACATAGAAGATAACGAATCATTCGAGACACGATATGTATTGTTTGCCATAACACTTTATATTATTGTGTTAATGAAGCTGGATATGTCGAGGCTTCGAGTTAAGACATATACACACGAACAAGACATATCCTACACTCCCTACAGCTGGTGAGATCACTACATACAGCACTCACTACATACAGCAACCTAGCGCCGACTGCTGTAGCGAAATATTACACGTATTGCTGTACCTCACGTCTTGCAAACAGCTGAAAGAAAATATGACCGGTACAAATAAACAGTTTCCTACACACCACATTGTATTTTACTATTAAATCGACAAGGAACCTGAGAGGGTACGGGTAAACGGTTATGTCACCGCTCGTGTTGACGCAGTGAGCTGATCATACAGTAACTGTAGAAGCGTCGAGTGGAGATTGAAACGCACATTACAATGTCGGACTGTTTGATTACTTCTCTGTGGGACGACGACCACTGGGGCCGTCTGTTTGGACACGTGTGATCGATATGGAGGGGCCAGAGTTTAATTTGATGTGGTAAGTCATTAGTTTTGTAATTGTATTGTCTTTATATACTGACGAACAGAAATATTTTAAACCAGATCTTCGATTGTAGTCCAAACCAACACCCTCACCAACACGGAGACATCTGCTTCAACACCATCACGAACACGATGACATACATTTCAACACCATCACCAACACGGACACGATGACATATATTTCAACACCATCACCAACAGGGAGACATCTGCTTCAACACCGTCACCAACACGACAACGTAAATTTCAACACCATCACCAACACGACGACATCTGCTTCAACACCATCACCAACACGACAACATCTGCTTCAACACCATCACCAACACGACAACATACATTTCAACACCATCACCAACACGACAACATACATTTCAACACCATCACCAACACGACGACATCTGCTTCAACACCATCACCAAGACGACGACATCTGCTTCAACACCATCACCAACACGACGACATCTGCTTCAACACCATCGCCAAGACGACGACATCTGCTTCAACACCATCACCAACACGACAACATACATTTCAACACCATCACCAAGACGACATCTGCTTCAACACCATCACCAACACGACAACATACGTTTCAACACCATCACCAACACGACAACATACATTTCAACATCATCACTAACACGACAACATACATTACAACACCATCACCAAGACGACGACATCTGCTTCAGAACCATCACCAAGACGACGACATACATTTCAACACCATCACCAACACGACAACATACATTTCAACACCATCACCAACACGACGACATCTGCTTCCACACCATCACCAACACGACGACATCTGCTTCAACACCATCACCAACACGACAACATACATTTCAACACCATCACCAACACGACAACATACATTTCAACACCATCACCAACACGGAGACATCTGCTTCAACACCATCACCAACACGACGACATCTGCTTCAACACCATCAACTGCAGTTCGACATGTGCTCCATGCCCATCAAATACAATGCAGATATAATACCCAAACAAAGAGGTAGAGTAGACACCCGAGTCTAACTAATTTGGCCACAACCTGTTTTCGGAAAACTTATAACCACCGTTTGACTGGCACCTGCACTGTTGCAGGTGTAACATGGGGTCGATATGAATCAGGTGGTAAATGATAAATCAGTGATATCTATCGACCATCACTCAGTCACCGGTTTGCTCGGTCCAGATTCGAACATTACCTGCAGCCACAAAGGCGTTTAGAAATATTCACTCATTTCATTGCAGTCATTCAGTTCAATCTTATCGACGCTCTCCTTCACAGGGGGGCGGTGGGGTAGCTTAGTAGTTAAAGCGTTCGCTAGTCATGCCAAAGACCTGGGTTCGATTCCCCACATGTGTACAATGTGTGAAGCCCATTTCTGGTGTTCCCCGCCGTGATATTGCTGGAATATTGCTAAAAGCGGCGTAAAACTAAACTCACTCTCTCTCTCCTTCACGTGGTTTTACAACGTCGCCACTACATCGGTCTACATGCTCTACAGTTGTGTGAGTCGTATTTCAGCGTGTCAGCTAATGTGTGAGAAAACCCCGGAGCGAGTCCGTTGTTACTGTACAGGATTTGTACTTGGCGAAACCATCAGCAAGGGTATGGTGTTGACAGACCAAGATGCCCGTGACCCATGCTTGTCGTAAGAGGCGACTAACGGGATCGGGTGGTCAGGCTCGCTGACTTTGGTTGACACATGCCATCGTATCCCAATTGAGTAGATCGATGCTTATGCTGTTCATCACTGGATTGTCTGGTCCAGACTCGATTATTTCAGACCACGACCATACAGCTGGAATATTGCGGAGTGCGGCGAAAACTAAACTCACTCACTCACAGACCAAGAACGATAATCAGGGCAAAGCAGGATTCGAACCCGGTTTGTGGAACTAAGGGACGCAACCGTCAAGCAAAATGAAACGCCTCAGACGACTGATCCGCCCGTACCCCACAGGTAGATGAGCGTACCAATATCCCGTAACCCTGAGACGTGTGTTAAAGTACATGTGTGAACCGATAAAGTCGACATCTTATTAGGGTTGGGGTCAGTTTCCGCCTGAGGTAACAATGTGTAAATAACTAGAACAATCCGGCCAAGGGACAGAGCCGGTTACCTGCTTTCATGAATCAACGAATGATTGTACTTATACATGTTGCAGGTCGAAGTAATTGCAAAATCGGCCCTTAACACGTATAACTATATCGTTTACGATTTCGTCTGGTGAATGAGTGTGTTGGACACAGTTGGACACAGAAGGGGAGCACACTTCAAT